CTTCATCAGAAAAGACCCTTTTCTGATGAAGGGTCTAGGCCCGAAACGTCAGCCTCTCTGCTCCTATGATGCTGCTTGGCCTGCTGTGTTCATCCAGCCCTGCACCTTGTTGTCTCACTTGGAATGAATCTGATTGATCATAAAACAATTTGCTGAGTAAATAAATATTAGCAATCAACACTATTCTTGGGTATACAATCACAATACTGTTTTTACACAGCAGATACAATTGAACTGTTGAAAATCTACTACTCAGGATAAAAATCAGTGTTTGAAACTGTTTTGATATTTGCTTTAATTCATTGCTTATCTGCTAAATTCCACAAATCACAGTCAAATGACTGCAAATACTTTATTTTAAAAAGTGCAAGTGACACAACATTAACCTGCACAGTGTGTGCCTCATTTTTATAAATATTTAATAAACTCTCCAAACATCCTTCTACCTCCAACACTGGTAGATCGTGGGCTGACCTACGCCTTTTCTGATCTCATTAGAAATCTGTTTAAACTTGGAGTGTACAATTGAATAAATTTGTAAATTTTTAAAAACGGCAAAAATGAAAGAATCCCATAAGAAATGACTGGTCTTGAACAAGTTCCCAGATGAGTAAGGACATTTTACTAATCTACTGATCCAGTCAGATCTAACTGGTAGATGCAATATTATCTCAAACTTTATGATCTATTTCACAAATTGCACTTCTTTATTAACCAAATAGTATGAAGTGAAATTTCTAGAATTGCTCTTAGTACATTACAGTTCAGTGGGAAGGCATCACTCAAGTAATTACATTTTTCAAGGTAGGAATATACTTGATGGAGGCAGTTATGAGTAATCAATAAATTAGAACTGAGATGAAGAGAAATTTCTTTATGCACATGTTCAGAAAAGTTTGGAATTCTCTATGTTGGTGGGGAGTGTGGAGAGGTGAGGGTGGTTACCAGGCAGTCCCCAGGTAGTGAACAGGTTCCATTCTAGAGTCCATTCGCAAGCCAATTTGTACACAAGTCAGGACACAATGCAGGACAATGTAAAGTAGCTATTTGTAAGTACAGGAAACGTTCGATCTTTAAAATTATATATCCATATGTGATTGCATTGTAAGTACAATTGCTCAAAAATTAGGACGCCCTGCCCTCAGTTGTTGACTATGTTCAAAGTTAAGATTAATTGCCTTGGTTTCTTGAAATCAAGGGATATGGGGACCAGGTAGCAAATGGAATTCAGGTCAAAGATCAGCCATGATACTAGTTAATTAGACAGCCTCAAAAGGTCAAAAATGTTGTTAGAATAAAGGAAAAATTAATTTTTAATACCATTCCTTTATCTGCCTCTGCAATCCTCCCAGTCATGATCAAGCCATTTTGCCCTTTGTTTAAAAAATAATTTTGGGAATGTGGGCTTCACTGGTTGAGCCAACATTTCTTGCCCATCCCCAATTGCCCCTCATTTTGGCATTATTCCCAAGACGTTGGTAAGGAGGGCTTTGCAGAGTTAACAGGGCTGGTTTGCTGTTGCTGTTTCCAGTGACTAGGTCAATGCTAGGCAGTTCCATTCAGCTTCATTTCTTTTGAGACTTCATAGTAAATTTGTTATAACTTAGTAGTTTGCTAGACCATTTTAGTGGACAGGTTAGGGTATGGTTTCACATGTAGACCAGTACAGGTAAGGCCAGCAGATTACCTTCTTTGAAGGATATTGGTGAACCGGATGGATTTTTGTGACAATCAACAATGGTTTCATGGTCATCACTAGGCTCTTAATTGCAGATTTTTAAAAGTGAATTCACATTCTACCATCTGCTGTTGTGAGAACTGAACCCCCAACCCCACAGCATTACCTGGATCTCTGGATTACAAGTCCAGCAACAATACCACTACACTTTTGCACCCACAGCACCCCCTTTCTGCTTTCATATAATTTCATTAACAGATTAAATGGAAGTGTACACAGGCTATAATTATCAGTTGTATCTATGAAGTTATCTTAGACAATTAACCTCTATTATATTCAGATTTTATCTCAAACCTTAAAGAAAAGCATTGGCTATTTTAGATGGTAAAAAGTGAACCAGCCAATTAACTGACTCAGCAGTTTCAACACCAATAATACTTACTTTGTTTGCAGTAGTCTTTGCGGGTTTCGACCCAAAATCAAATTCTGAATCTGAGTCAGAGTCCTTCTTTCTTTTAGTTTTTTTAGCCTTTGCTGGTGCAGCTTTCTTTGTAACATTGTCATCATCAGAAGATGTTTTATTTTTTGCTTTCATAGCAGTCTTGGAAAATTTTGGAGCAGCCTTTTGTTTGGTGAGAACATCAAAGATAGAAGGTTGGTTTTCATCTGTAAATGATTAGATTTTAGATTAGGTGTAATTATTAGACTTTGAAAATTACACGATTAACTTTTCTGTAACTTTATCATGGAGGCTGAATGAAAATAAATTTACAGTAAAATGTGTCTCTTCCCTGCTGGGGAGTACAGCCAAATCCCAAAATTGGGTTTGCACCAGGAGTCAACTTCCTTTTTGCCTGGAAGTAACTAGAAAGCTGAAGGAAAACTGGGAAACTACAGTGGGTGAAGGAGGCTACTTGAATGAAATAAACTACTTATTGTATCATAGAATCCTCATGGTGCTGAAAGAGGCCATTCAACCCATTGAGTCTGCACAGACCCCTGAAGAACATCCCAATAAACTCCACTGTATCACTGCAATTATCATGGCTAGTTAACCTAGCATGCACATCCCTGGACACTACGGACATTCGCATGGCTAATCCACCTAACCTGCATATCTTTGGTCTGTGGGAAGAAACTGGAGCACACAGCGGAAACCCACGCAGTCATGGGTAAAACATGCAAACTCCACACAGACAGCCACCCAAGGCTGGAATCAAATCTGCATCCCTGGTGCTGTGAGGCAGCAATGTTAACCACTGAGTCACTGTGCTGCCCTTGTCGTTCAAACTATTTTATTTTACACCCAGACAGTGCCATCTTCAGAAAGGCAGGTGCTTCTTGTTGCTCGAGAATGGTTTCAATATTCTGTCTGCTCATTTCATTTATAGGTAACTCAGCCAAAAAGAAAATTATCTCAGTACTATCTCCTGCAGCCTTTTCAAGGCATGGCTTTATTAAAATTAAAAAAAATTACTTAAGTTAGATTTGACTATTGTGCCTGGGGAGAGGATATTAAAAAGAAAGACTTGCCATCTCGTAGCAGCTTTTACAACAATCGAGCTTCTCAAAATGCTTTACGCCAAATTAAGAATGCGTTTTAGACATATTGTCATTGCTGCAAATTAGGAAACCAGTTTTGTTTTAACTCATTGCATGAACAATGCAGATAGCCCTATACAAATCTCTCAAACAATCAGGGCATCAGTTACTTCAAAGACTGACAAAGTATTTAGATTACAAACTCAACTATTCAATTATCAAAACAAAATACACTTTCAATAGTAATGGCAGCTTGACTTTTGGCCTCAACCATCAGAACAAATTTTAAATGGATGCATATATTATTGCTAAGCATTAACCATGGACTCTACTCGAAATTCAACTTGGATCCAAAAGAAAATATAAAATCGGATTCATTTCTGTTATTTTCTGCACAATTATGGGAAGCCATTTTGTCACCGTAGATTGAAGAACCAAGCAGATTGCAATCCATGCCAGATCTTTATCAGAATAGATTCACTTGCCTTTCTTAGAAACACTGGTGGATTTCTTGCCAATAGCACGTTTTTTTGGTGCTGCCTTTTCACCAGCTGGTTTGGCTGCTGCTTTCTTTGCTATTGGTTTAGAAGTGTTGGAATGGATTGGGGGATCTTCAGGTTCATTAATAGAATCAGAAGAGGATAAAGACTCATCAACAACTTGAGGAATATTCTTTTCCATGTCCTCCCCAGCTGTGTTAACAATAATAGATTTTGAGGTTAGGAATGTTTTATTTTATGAATATCAAGATCCCAAATCTTGTCAAAAAAGACATATTTGCATATTAATTATGTTTTCTAAACAGGGAGTGCTGATATTTTTTCTCAATAGGAGAAACAACACCTTAGAAACCTATGTCTGGACTACAGTTAGCAAAGCAATTTTAGCAGTTTTGCAGGATTACCAAAATATTATAAGTTCATCAAATAAATACAAATATGTTGTATGCATTGATCTGGGCATTTACATTTAGAAAGACACTTTCAGCATTTTGGAGGTGTCATATCTCAATGCTAACTCAGATCTAAAAAGCACAATGGTTTAAAAAAAGTCAAAACTGTTCATATCGTATTTGAACGCTTCTTTCATAAGACGCCACTAAATTCAAGTTACTGCATGCAGACAACACTGTTTAATTACAAGTCAGTTTCTAAAATTTCTTTCGCCCATCTTTTCCTTTAACATTATTTGCTGCAGGAAGCTCTTTATGCTCTTCAATAAACCAGCAGATGCCACGCTGGAAAAAAAATGGTAGGACATAAATCATTTAGACCACCTTCTAACTAATGAGTAAAGAATGCTGGGGCTAATTATCTATCAATTGTGGCACAATGCAGCAATTGAATCTTAACATTTATAACAAGTCCAAAGCAAGAGAAAAATCTGACCATCACTGGTATAGCATTGACTTTGAATTAATGATTTCACAATCATGGGTAGGCAGGACCCTTTATAAAATATGTAATTGTAACACCAACCACTGACAAACTCAAGTAATGAAACTTGTTTCTATTAGTTTGCAAGCACTTTATACATATAGCACGATGCTTAACAACTCTGGGTAGAGTTATACACTATCTTGCTTGTGAAAGTATTATCTTGTCAGGGTATGGCTCCACCAGTTTTGATCAGACTGCATGAATTCATGAATATTTTATCAAAGTGGGGGTGTGTGTGTGTGTACCACAGCACATTTGTTCATACAGTAACAAATCAGTGGATGGCAAACAGGAAACAATTATAACCAGTTTCCACTTCTAACCCAAAGGCACAAAGGTTAACTTTATATCGGAAATCAGCTGGCCAAGATATACAGCACAGATTACAATTCAAACTCGAGGTTGACCAGATATTATGAATACATTAATTTGTTGATTAAAAAAAAACTGAACCAATAGTGCTTTATCCAATCTTTTCAAAAAAAGATAGCTCTTTAAAATTACTACTGATGAAACAAAGATTCACTTGCATGTTTTCGAAGATGCCTGTGATGATTGGAAAATTTCAATCTCCTGGGGAACAGATTTTGCTGAAGGCTTTGACTGGGCTTTTCTGCACGAAAATATTACATTTATTATGAGCAATTGTAAGACATCTAATTCCCTTGAACAAATTCATCATTGATTTTAAATCTAATTTTCATACTTACTTAAGGGTACAATTTGCCTTTGGTTTGGAGAATTCAGTACCACTGTCAGAAATATGAAATTCATCACCACTCTCCTCTTCACTCATCATTTTATCACCATTATCATCATCCTCATCAGATGATCCAAGCATGTATTTGGCCTTTGAAGCTGTTGTAAATAGGGAATAGAAAACATATTAAAATAAACCAAAATAAATTTCAATTGGAAAACTCAAATTAAAAATATGAGCAGTGATTGGGAAAATACAAATGAATTTGTGCAGAGCAAGAAAAGGTCAAAAATTTAAGTACACAAATGTGCATTCAAGTTTGAAGTTCTAGTATGGCATGTTTCTTTTGGGAAATCCATTTGAAGGAAGTTACAGTGCCAAAGTTTCAGCACCATCAAGGAAGGTTTGGTATTAGAAAAATGAAGATCATAGAAAGAAAGAAAATAGAGGCAACGGCGTTATTGAGCATTGATTTCAGTGAAGGATGCTATTTCTATCATAGAGTCATTGAGGCTTACAGGACGGAAACAGACCTTTTGGTGCAACCAGTCCATCCGATCATAATCCCAAACTAAACTAGCCCCACCTGCCTGCTCTTGGTCCATATCCCTCCAAACTTTTCCTATTCATGCACGTATCCAAATATTAATGACTATTAAACATTCTTTTAATAGAGGCATAGAGATATACAACATAGAAACTCTTTGGTCCAACTTGTCCATGCCGACCAGATATCCTATATAAATCTAGTCCCATTTGCCAGCATTTGGCCCATATCCCTCTAAACTCTTCCAATTCATATACACATCCAGATGCCTTTTAAATGCTGTAATTGTACCAGCCTCCACACTTCATCTGGCAGCTCATTCTGCACCACCCTCTGCGTGAAAAGATTGCCCCTTAGGTCCCTTTTATATCTTTCCCCTCTCATCTTAAAACTATGCCCTCTAGTTTTGGACTCCCCCACTCTAGGGAAAAGATATTTTCTATTCATCCTATCTATGCCCCTCATAACTTTATAGGCCTTTATAAGGTCACCCCTCAGCCTCCGATGCTCCAGGGAAATAGCCCCATCCTATTCAGTCTCCCCCTATAGCTCAAACCCTCCAACCCTGGCAACCTCGTAAATCTTTTCTGAACCCTTTCAAGTTTCACTACATCCCTCTGATAGGAGGGAGACCAGAATTGCATGCAATACTCCAAAAGCGGCTGAACCAATGTCCTGTGCAGCCGCAAACATGACCTCCCAACTCCTATATTCAATGCACTGACCAATAAAGGCAAGCATATCACAACACCTTCTTCGCTATTTTTTCTACCTGCGACTCCACTTTCAAGGAACTATGAACCTGCTCCAAGGTGTCTTTGTTCAGCAACACTCCCTACGACCTTACCATTAAGTGTATAAGTCCTGCCCTGGTTTGCCTTTCCAAAATGCAGCACCTCACCTTTACCCAAATTAAACTCCATCTGCCACTCCTCAGACCATCAGCCCATCTGATTAAGATCCCATTGTACTCCGAGGTAACCTACTTCTCTGTCTCCACCTCTAATTTTAGTGTCATTTGCAAACTTACGAACCATAACTTCCATATTCACACCCAAATCATTTATATAAATGACAAAAAGCAGTGGACCTAGCACCGATCCTTTTGGCACACTGCTGGTCACAGGCCTCCAGTCTGAAAAGCAACTCTCCACCACCACCCTCTGTCTTCTAACTTTAAGCCAGTTTTGTATCCATATAGCTAGTTGTCCCTGTATTCCGTGTGATCTAATCTTGCTGACCAGACAATCATGAGGTTCGTAAATATGTCAACAGGCTAGGTTTTGTTGGAAATCTCCAAAAGTATGTGTATTATTGAAAGAATCAAATCCCTAAATGACGTTAACTAGTTACTGTCAGTTGCAGCTTTTCTATATTTTTCTATAAAAGTTTGATCTTGGTTACTTAAAATTGTGCAAGAGTTAATTTTGTAGACACACAAATTAAAAGCTGTGGAAGGTTCATCATAATTATTATGGTGCACAAGGAGTAAATTTGGTCTATTGTGTATGCACCTGTTCTCCAAATGAGCATTAGGACTTAGTGCATTCTCGAGTCCTTTCCCTGTAACCCTGTATGTTATTTGAATAGAAGCATTCATAAACTGCCCTGTTGAATACATTGACTGAACCTACCGCTACTACACTTCCAAGCAGTATATTCCAATCCCTAACTAGTAACTGTGTAATAAAGTATTTTGCTCACATGGCATTTCATTCTTTTGCAAATTACTTTAGATCTGCAACCTCTCCTTCTTAATCCTTTTAAGAGCAGGAACAGGTTCCTTCCATCTATTCTTTTCAGATTTAGCCATGATTTTGAAAACTTCTATCAATTCTCCTTTCAGCCTTCTCATCTGCAATGAAGAGTAGTCAATTTTTTCTAATCGACCTTTGTAACTGAAGTTTCTCCCCTCTGAAACCATTGTCATAAACTGTTCTGCATTCTCACCAATGTGCCCACATCCTTCCTGAAGTCTGGCAGTTACATAGCATAAATGTTACTTACCAATTGAACTGAACACTGTGTAATCATCAGTAAGCAATTCACTTCTATCTTCGTGATGGAGTGAAGCTGTTGAATATGATTGTGTTAAAACACTACCCTCACCAGACCCTGCTACTAAGTTAATTGGTTTCCATCAGGCACAACTGTCTCCTTTGTGCTTTGTTACTCAATGTCAGAAGCAACCAATCTTGCTTCAGTGCAGTTCCACAAATGCCAGCTGTTTTCTAGAATGAAGATGAAATGGCCGTTTTCCCATATGAATGCAAGCGTTTTGGCAGGCATATTTTGACTGTTAATGCTGTCAGTGTAATTCTCTATTTTTCTTTCTCCAGTCCTCCTGGGAGACGCAATGGCCTAATGGTATTATTGCTGGACTGTTAACCCAGAGACCCAGATAATGTTCTGGGACCTGGGTTTGAATCTCACCACAGCATGTGGCAGAATTTGAATTCAATTAAAAAAACTGGAATTAAGCGTCTAATGATGACGATGAATCCATCGATGATTGTCAGAAATGTCGTTTCACTAATGTCCTTTAGGGAAGGAAACTGCCATCCTTACCTGGTCAGGCCTATATGTGACTCCAGAACCATAGCCAATGTGGTTAACTCCTAACTGCCCCCTGGGCAAGTACGGATGGACAATAAATGCTGCCCAGACACTGATGCCCTCATCCCGTGAATGAATAATGAATAAAAGAACGTAGATGTTCTGACACTCCTGTGAATCAGCAACTAAAACCTTTTGATTTGGACCTCCCTCTCTAATAGTATTGTGGGTATAATTACAATAAATGGACTACAAAGGTTCGAGAATGCTAACATGACCTCTGGTATACGATATATAAATAATTGATGAATTCAACTCTGCATGATAGTTTTTAATTAATATACTTCCGTCTGTGTATTCATACAAGACCAATATTTGCAAATAATCTTCACAAATCCTTAAAAAGTTGCCCCCATCAAGTGTTAAACACAAAAATGGATTGAAAAGCATTACCTGCAGCCCTTTGTTGTTTCTGTCTGGGAGGAAGATCAACAATCTCCATGTCACCATCCGATTCTGACATTGAATCTGAATCTGACCAGGAATTCTTTTTCTTTGCAAGAGGTTTAAATTGAAGTTTAGTTTGTTTCTGAGCTGTTGGCTTTGTCTTGGTCCCTTAAAAGAAAGTTGAGTCTGTTCAGTAACGTCATAATAAACTCATTCAAATAGGTTACATCTTCATAAAATCAGTTCATTGCAAGATTTTAGATGGCATGTACCATAAAAATTATTTGATCTTCTTCTTTGAAAGTCCTAGCATTCTATCCAACTGGATTGAAAATGGTGCCCCTCATGGAATGGGGACGAAACAGGCTTCTGACTAACAACCAGTTCTCACTAGGCATGATTTCCATATCTGGCGACTTGATTTTGGAGGAAGGCCTGCCACTGTCCTTCAAAAAGGAGGAGGATGCAGTGGCCTTTCTCTGAAAATTCAGCTGGGCTGTCTTGTCATCTTTTCAGCAAACAGAATTTTGATACCAAACAACAGCAGGCAATTCCAGCCAGTTTGGTTCTGTGCTGCAATTTCCAAGTCAATTTATATTTGGCGAAATATTAAATACAAGCTACTTGGTCCATTAAATATTCTGCACACTTCTTCTGTCAAATACAACATGATCAATTGTTGCCAATCCCCAGATGGTCCACTGCTGCTACTTTCTCTGCCTGCTCCAGTGAGAAGACATCCAAAACCTCTGTGCAGGGTGGCTGCAATTGGGTTCAAGTAAGAAATTAAAGTTGAGCATGCTCCATTGTGATAATTTAAAAATACCCACCTGCTTCAGTTTTCACTTTCTTGGAAATTCGTTCTGCAAGGCTTACATGTTCAGGAGAACTTGCCTCTTTATCACCAAACTCCATCTTAACAGCAAGAGAATCCGTTTCACCCTGTCGAGTATCCAAGATTTTAAAAAAACTCAAATCTAAAATCACACTACAAAAACAACTGTCTAACACTGCAGGTTAACAAGATCAAAAATAGACTTGAAACAAATGGAATTTTGAATATATCACGATAGTATGTAATATTACAAAATTTATACCACAACAAGCAAATAATAAGCAGCATTAAAACTATTTCATTCAAAAGTTATGCATAAAAGAATAAAAATCAAGATAGTTTGCAAATTGCAAGGAGTAAATCAGACTTGTGGGTTCAGCTAAAATCAGATATATGCAGATGCCTCACCAAATTACGCAGTTTCTTTGATTGTCAGAATTCTGCTTCCTTCCACTTCACAAATACAATACGCATAAGTACAGCGCATATCCAGCACCCAGTTCACAGCACAACACACTGTATTCATCATGACTTTACCTTTCAGCAATCATTTAAGGAACATTGTTTTTGTTTTATAGTAAAAGTGAACAAAAAATCTAAAAAAATGGGGTAAGAATCAAGCCAATATTTGTTCACTAATTATCATGCAGCTTACCACCACCAGTGGGAAGCAGATGTAAAATTATCATTAATACTAGAGATTTAACGCAGTAATTTCATTGAACATTAAATTTCAATATCAATTGCAGCATGTAAACAAAATAATGTTCACTGTTAGGTGTAGGAATGTCTTGTACAGTATATTTATAACAGCATCAAGACTTAATCACAATAGCAAAACTATTTTAATGTTGATGAATGCATGGCCATTTGTTCAAATCCCTTAATTGATTTTTAAAGTTGTCTCTAGCAATAGCAGCAGAAGTAGATAAACTCACCTTTCCCTTTTTTTTGATATTTTTTCTAGTGGCCTCTGTCTTCATTGCAGAAGTAACTCTGGGGACCACCCTTCTGCCTTGAGGAGATGGCATAGTTTCTTCCAACTGCAGCTTCCTCATTTTACCCTTACCACCTTTAGCTTTAACAGCTTTACCAACGTGAGCCAATTCATCATCTTTCTCCTGCATCTCCACACGCTGAATAAAACAAAAGGAAATTGTTTCAGAAATAGAAAATACACTGATCTCTCGAGTGAGAAGATGAAGATCTATATTCCATATATTTTTGGGGCTGAACAATGAATTGAAGAAAATAAAACATAATATCTCACAAAACAGCATTTACTTTTAGTAAATCATTTTTTTGAGAGTGATAGTATTCCATCCCCACTCAGTTAATATTTCAATCTTTCACTCAATATAACGCAACACCAATTAGTAAACTCAACACCTATGCTAGCGAGTGTCAGTTAATATAAGGGAGCTGGTATGCGGAGAGATAAAGAAACACCTAACAGCAGCAACTAAATAGAGGCTTGAAATCGATCCTTGTTGCAACCTTTTGTGGGCAGGAAATTTCAGTGCATAACCAGCACCTATGTCCAGGTGGCACCACATAACATCTACTTCAGGTTCCTTCAATGAAATTATCAGCGAATAGCAGAGCAGATGCAAGTCAAAAATGCTAGCCTACACATTAGCATTTACAGAGAACAAGTCAAGAAAGCAGACATTTTACAGAAATTCACATTATGTACTAGAATGAATAAAAAAAAAGTGTAGCTACTTTGATAGCACTCATTTTCCAACTAATCACATATTAATTTGCATTATCAGAAATGTTTAATGTAGTTTAAATCTGCATGATTCCTGACATCAATGGATAGTAGGAATCAAGGACATCACTTAAAAGAATAGTGCGCACAATGTGCTCTGCAAATATTCTACTCTTGAATGAATCAGCCAAAAGTACAATTATTGCAGTTTATAGATCCATACCAGGAAGTAATACCTTCCTTTACTATGAACATGCTAATTATCTTGTGCTAAATATTTCTAAAAAACTTGCAACTGCTAAAATAATTCAATATCTTCACAAAGATCAGTATGAAGAGCAAGGGCAGGGATGAGAGAAAATTAGGAAGCAATTCCAATTTAAAACATTTTCATAATTGCATTAATAAAATGCATTTCCAAACAAGCAGTAACAGTTACAGCACCTCAAGCTCCTCGATGAAGGCTGCCAGGTCTTCCTTCCATAGGTCTGCTGGGCTTTTCCTTTTCAGAGATTTCAATTCTTTTTCCTAGGGAGAGAGTTTGGAATTACAGACCATGAAACAGAATTAACACCTGTTTTCTGAGTCATGCACCGCAAGCTTGCCGAATGGGAAATTAAGTTTTTAGAGGGGGCTCTCAAATGGTTGCTAGGCCTCTTATTTGCTGAGTAAAGGGCTCAACATCTGCTACTGCATGGGCAAAGGATACCCTTTGTGTATTCTTGCCCAACAGGGCCAAAAATGATCTATTTTCCTTCTTGCCATGTTTGGATCACTTGCTATATCAATTCACAAATACAAAATATCAACATTTACTCAGGTGATGTGGGCTGCACTGCTTAGGACAATATTTATTGCTGATCCCCAATTAGCCTTGGGAAGGTAATGGTGAACTATCTTCTTGAACCACTGCAGTCTATTTTGTGGGAAGGAGTTCCATGACTTTGAGGCATTAATTTAGAAACAAATACAATGGTATCACGGTAGCTACTGCTTGAAGGCAAATACCGATCAGAAACAGAACATCAACATCAGTCTCTATTAGTCTACAGAAACCTACTTTGACATCTCTCTGCTTAAGCAGTTCATCCTTCTTTTCCTTGGTCAGATACCACAAAGGCATATTCAAAAGATAGTTGAAATCTGCCCCGGATGAAATGGTAGATTCCTCTTCTTCTGTATTTTCCAGCTCAGATTCTTGCTCCTGTCAACAGCAATTAAAAATGGTTATTCAAGAAAAGGTAGAGTGTATCTTTAAATATAAAAGTAACTCCCCACATCTAGCTGAGATCTAAACTTCCATCTTAAAGCAGATAAATTAAGTTTGCAAACTGACACCTTGATTCTCCCCATGTTCAAAATCTCACCATGGGTACTCTCCCAGTCAGGGAAAAAAAAACAAATTTGCAAAACTTTCAATTGCTAAAGTAATAGATATTGCCAGCAAGCAAATATGTTTATGCAGTTATAGGCTACCATTAAAACTTGGTGCTGTAAGCATGTAGCACCACCGTCTGCATCTACAGAGCTTCTATTAAATCCCACACAGTAATCAAAATTCTTTCATCGTTTCCTTCAGAATTTTGAAAATTACATAGCAATCCAGCAAATATTCACATTTACTGGTTGATGATTGTTGAAGAATATTGAGAGTTCCAAACAAAAACAACGTCCAAGGTGTATCAGAAAGATTTATGTTTAATGCACACTTAAAATCTGCAATTTTTAGTGTGAATTAATATATTGCAACTTAACTCAACCGCATTGCAATAGTACTTCAGCATTTGACATTGCCTGTAAATCCCATCTTATATATGACACACCATCTTATATAGATTGCAGCTTTCATAGTTTCAAGGAATTCAAAACAAGCAGTTCTTAAAAAAAAATACAAAAAATTTTGCAGAAATTCAGGAAATAATTACCATTATTTCCAATCATTTCATCCTGTTTGATTCTAAGCCAACTTTCTGATCCTATATATTTTCAATCACCAAGAATGCCACTTCTTACTCTGTAATACCATCTACATTTCTCACATCTCATGTGCTGTCTCTTACTCATGCTTTTGTCACTTCTTGACTTGATTATTCCAATGCTCTTCTGGCTGGTCTTCGAACTTGCACCCTGCATAAATTTGAGCTCATTCAAAACTAGACAGCCCGTGTGTCAATTTACATCAAACTCCATATTCCCACCACTGACCTATATTGACTCCTGATTCAGCAACTGGCCCAATTTTCTCGACCTGTCTTCACACCCCACCAGCTCTGTAAAGCTAAACTATACAAGTCTTCCTGGATCAGTGGTCCTCCAATTTTGTCTCCTAAATATCCTAAATTTCAATCACTCGATTATTTGAAATCATGTCCGAGCTCCCAAGCTCTGGAATTTCCTGTTTGAATTTCTGTTTTCCTTTAAGAGGAGACTGTAAAAGTACTTCTTCAATAATGCTTTAGCACTATCCTTATACTCTATGTAAAATTTAGTTCAATAACGTGACTGTGAAGTGCCATCAAATGTTTGCTTTGTTAAAGATGCTATTAAATGCAGTGTTTTGTTATTCAAGATACTTTAAACCGTAATAAATCCACTTCTACAAATCATAATTTCAAAGGTATTTTTTATAACAAGTGCACTGTTGCAAACCGCTCAAATCACAACTGAAGTCACTGGCATATCACCTTATCCTGAGATTCTTTCCAGCTTTTCACAGGATCTGAATCATAACCTCGGTCGAGCAGTAACTGGATCAGTTCACGCTTTGGTTTGTTTTCTGTGGAGGTAAGATGATTATAAAATGGAAATTAAGGCTTATAGCCTATCAAATGAAGAGGTATTCTTGCATATTAAATAACTTGAAGTTCAAACAGAATTCTGTACTTTAATTTTATATTAAAATAACATGAAAAGAACATGTTGGAATATCCAAATACAGAAAATAAACCCGATGTTTGTGTTCAAAATTTTGACCAACATCCCCATTTGGAGAATGGATAAGACCAAAATGCAAGCTACTTCAACTCTTAGATAGTTTTTAAAAGACGTACCAATGACCAATGTGCCTTCAATCTTCTCCAAGATAAAACGAGCCTGGTTGCTTAATTTTCCAAATTCTGCTCCTAGTAATCCCTCAAGCCAATCCTTTCTTAAACCATAGTATTTAAACCGTAAGTCAAAGAACTCTTTCAGTATGTCTTGTATATTTTCATACTTCTTCAGACATCCAACATGGTCGAATAACACCTAAAAAAAAAAGTAGTTGAGCAAACCCAGAATATCTAGAGAGTTGTTCATGTCCCAATCCCATTTCTATACATTCTCAGTATTTAAGCAGAACCTGGTCAGATCGAATACTTTACTCATATTAATTTCAGCGGAATTGGGACACCAGCAGTGGGGATTGGGAGGAAGGAACAGATTTATGTCAAAGGATGCTAGACATGCATTTTTGTCTCACCTGGTCCTTAGGGACACTTAGAGATTAGTTGCCTCAGTCTGCTCTAGTCATAAACATCTTCGTGAGTGGTTTCGAAATATGTAAAATAGGACCAGGAATAAACCATTTGACCCTTTAAGCCTGCTCCACCATTCAACATCATCATGGCTGGTCAACCAACTCAGTGTCCTGTTCCCTTTTCCTTCCCATACCCTTTGATCCCTTTAGCCCCAAGAACTATATCTAATTCTTCTTGAAAACATTCAATATTTTGTCCTCAACTAATTTCTGTGGGAGAAAATTCCACAGGCTCACTGCTGTGCTTGAAAAAATTTCTCTCCATCTCAGACTTAAATAGCCTCCCTCCTATCCTTAAACTGTGACCCCTAGTTCTAGATTCCCCAGTCATTGGAAACATCCTTCCTGCATTTACCATGTCTAGCCCTTTTAGAATTTTACAGGCTTCTATGAGACCCACTCCCTCATTATTCTCGTCTCCACTGAATACAGTCCTAATTGATCCAAGGGTAAGGCGACAGCCTAGTGGTATTATCACTGGACATTAATCCAGCGACCTAGATAATATTCTGGGAACCTGGGTTCGAATCTCGTTGTAGCATATAGTGGAATTTGAATTCAATTAAAAATAACTCTGGAATTAAGAGTCTAATGATGACCATTGTCCGACAATCCATTGTCGATTGTTGGAAAGACCTATCTGGTTCACTAATGTCCTTTAGGGAAGGAAACTGCCATCCTTACCTGTTCTGGCCTACATGTGATTCCAGACCCACAGCAATGTGGTTGATTCTTAACTGCCCTCTGGGCAATTAGAGATGGGCAATAAATGCTAGCCTGGTCAACGACGCCCTCAACCCATGAATGAATTTAAAACATCTCTTATCATACGCCAGTCCTGCCACCCCAGGAATCAGTCTGGTAAACCTTTGTTGCATTCCGTCCAAGCCAAACTGCACACAACACTTCAAGTGTGATCTCACCAAGGCTCTGTACAATTTCAGCTGGACATCCCTACACGTACAGTCAACTTCTCTCACTATGAAGCCAACATATCATTTACCTTCTTCATTGCCTGCAGCAGCAGCGTTGTTTACTTATAGCAACTGGTGTACAAGGAGTACCATATCTCATTGCACACCCCATTTCCCAATCTATCGCTATTCAAATAAAAATCTGTCCCTCTGTTTTTACTACCAAAGTGAATAACCTCAAATTTATTCACATTCAACTTCATCTGCCATGCATTTGCCTATTCACTCAACTTGTCTCTGCATCCTCCTCACAGCTCACCCTCTCACCCAGCTTTGTGTCATCTGCAATCATTCCTATATACTGTAAATAGCTGGGGTCAAAGCACCAATTCCTGCTGGACCCCACTGGTCACTGCCTGTCACTGAGGAAAAAAAACTTGTTTATTCCTACTTTTTGTTTCCTGTCTGCCAACCAGTTCACATCCATATCACTGCACTACCGTCACTTTAATTTTACATGCTAATGTTTTACGCGGGATCTTTCAAAAGCCTTCTGGAGGTCCTAGTAAATCACATTCACTGGCTCCCCTTATCAACTCTACTAGTTATATCCTCAAAAATTCCAGCAGATTTGTTAAGCATGACTTCCCTTTTGTAAATCCATGCTAACTCTGTCCAATCCAGTCACTATTTTTGCAAATGCTCTGCTACATCTTTTGTAATGGACTCTAATATTTTCCTACCAATATATGTCAGGCTAACTGGTCTATAATTCTCTATTTTCACTCTACTTTGTTTAAATAATGGAGTTGCATTAGCTGCACTCCACTCCACAGAAACCGTTTCAGAGTCCATAGAACCTTGTAACATGACCACCAATGCATTCGCTATTTCTACTGCCACTTCCTTAAATAGCCTGGGATGTAGATTATCAGGCCCTAGGAATTTATCAGTTTATAATTCCAAGAATTTCCACAAAAGCATTTCCCTACTGATACTAATTTCCTTCAGTTCCTCCTTCCCACAAGACAGTCCTCCCCCACATTTTTGGGACCTCATTTGTGTCCCCTTTGTGAAGACAGAGCCAAAATAAATATTTAATTGGTCTGCCATCTCTTTGTTTCCCATTATAACTGACTCTAAGGAACGTAAAATTGTCTTCAGTAATCTTTTTATCTTCACATACCTATAAAAACTGTTGCAATCATTTTGTATGTCCTCCACAAGCTTCCTCTAGTCTATTTCCCACCTTTTAATCAGTCCCATGTCGTCCTTTGCTGGAATCTAAACTGCTCCAAATCCTCACGTTTGCTGTTTTTTTGTGGCCAATATATATGCCGCTTCCTTAGATTTAATACTATCCCTAATTTTTCTCCTTAGCCATGGTCAGGCCACTTTTCCCATTTTGTTTTGCGCCAACCAGGAATGAACAATTGTTGCAGTTCCTCCATATACTATTTGACATTGTCTATCCACCATCATCCCTTGAAGTAACGCTCTCCAATTTATCATAATCAGGTGATGGAGAAGCTATCTCTGTTCCCCCACTCAGCTCTCCAGCTCAGTCAACATCAAGACATTACCAGGAAGACCACATGAGCAAAGGAGGATAATTTTAAATGGGAAAGTGAAAATGTAGGGAACAGACAAATAAATATGTCAACACGTAAAGAAAAAAAAGTATACAAGTTAGAAAGAAAGAAATTAAGGATAAAATAAATTTAAAAAGACAACTCTATAACATGACCAGTGTTTAAGGCTACTGCACCTGTAGTTTAGAGCCAACATTGAAGCTGCTTATATTAGTGTCATGTGTGTCAATGCACATACTTCAAACTAATAAAACGACTGGCCTCTGGAGACTAATAGATTGCAAAGGTCTTTTTTGCTGTTGGTTCTGAACAAAGAAAATTTTCCCCAATGCATTAATGATCATATAAGTCTTCAAGTTGTGCAGGCGATGAAAAATCATTACAGGGAGACAGTCTTTGACAGCCTGCTGCATTTTTTCTTGTCAGCAGAAACTGAAGTACAGATCTCACAGATCCTAGAGCTTTTGGTGCCCCACCCAGGAGAACAAATAGAGTACTCCCGATTCTGGGCACAGATGGATTTGTGCTGTGATTGCTGTGTATGCTGTACCAACTATTGTCAGTTTTGATAAACAAAAATTGCAACATACATAAAAAATGTAAATTACTGTACCATTGAATTGCACGTGAGAGGGACATTTAGTTTGAAGACTTTGTGCAGTCCTGCTGCTTCTGCCTCAGCCAGTTTCTGTTCAGTCATTGTTACTATGAAACGTACAGTGGTATCTGTGTGGTATTCCTTGTAACCCGTGATCAGTGATGGCGTCTTTTCTGTTCCATTCAACATTGGTTCTAGTACCTGTTCCTTGTAAGTCTGTATAAGATATAATAGTAATGGGAAATGGCCTCATTGAGTTATTTGGTAAAAAAAAGTTTAATTATTTTATAAACCCAAAGTATTCAGATACAAACCTCGAGAAAATATAGTCTCAAAATAATGCTGATATAATCAAATATCCCTAAAAATAAACAGCCTAGTAATAATTACAACCATTCCCCAGTTGATTACAAGCCAAATGCTGTTACAAAAATCCATGCAAACAGGCATGCAAAAAATTCACTCTGACTTGTACATTGACAGTAAAATCCTGTTTAAAATCTTTCCTGTGCTATTCTTATGCAACAAGTACTGTTCAGCAACAAAGTCTGAAAACTCCAGTTACCTGAGTCCATGTCTTGATTGGAAGTTCAGAAATTTCTATTGTTGTGGTATCCAATACTGAAATTTCACCATTAATGATGTACTGATTAGCACCCAATTCAAAAATTGTACCCTTGAAGTTCTTGTAATTAGGAAGCTATTGGGAAACAAGTCAACATACATATCAGTAGAATTAACATGCAAACTATCTGTAAAAATGAATGTTTACAAATCTTGCTGTTAAATCAGTTTGAACAGTTATTAATTAAAATAGAATCTCCCAAGTTACAGGATTCTTTTCAACAAATTTCTTACTAGTGATTCAATTATGAGGACAATTGTTTTCGAACTGGGATGGTAGCACTGTGGTAATATTATTGGACGAGTAATCCTAAGGTCCAGAGTAACACTGAAGACATATGAATTCAAATCCTGCCAGTGCAGCTGGGGAAGTTTTAATTCAATTAATAAATAAAATGTGGAATAAAATATTAATCTCATTTATAATGAGCATGAAACTATTGCATTATTGTGCAATAACATTTGGTTCACTAACTTCCTTCCTCAGGGAAGGAAATCTTCTGTCTTTACCTAGTCTAGCCTACATGCGACTCCATTTCCACACCAATGGTTGACTCTTAACTCTGAAATGGCTTAGTGAGCAGTTCACCATGGAGACGTAGCTGCAGGATCACAAGGATTGGGTCCTGAATCCTGAAGGGTATATGACATTGAAGAAGAAATAGGAAGCTAGGTAAATGTGGAGGGGTAGCACTGTTGATCAAGAATTTACGCAATAGTTTGAGTTAATTTAACTTCAGGTGATCGGCGTGTAGTTTCTAAGAGCAGCATGGTCTGGGAACATGCAAAGAGAAAGTTGTATTAGACTTGGTATTGTGTAATATCACAGGACTATGATGACAGATCATAACATCTGAGTAAAGGCACCCCTAGGTAATAGTGACCACAATATTGTTTGTATCTTACATCCACTTTTAAAGACTGCATCAAAGACATGAACGTAAACTTTCAATAAAGTTATCTATGTGGACATGAAAGCTGAGCTACCTGAAGTGATATGGCAATATTAGGCTAGGGAATAAATCAATAGAGACACAAAGGCAGGCACTTAAGGGGATATTTTAGAATACTCAGAATAAATATATTCCACTAACAGAAAAAATTCAAAACAGAGGATCCATCATTTAGTGAAGTTAGAGAAAGTGTCAGACACAGGAAAAAGTGAATATCTACTCAAAATGATTGGCAGGTCAGATGATTGGTCGGAGTATAAATAAAGGCAGAGAACAATTAGGATGATCAGGATGATGAAATTATGATTATGAGAGGAAGCTAGCTAAAAATGTAAAAATGGACAGCAAGAGTTTCTGCAGGTACTTAAAAAGAAAAAGATTAAGTAAAATGAGTATTAGTCCTTTTGAGACAGGATGAACTGTTAATAGTTAATAATAAGGAAATGGCAGACAAACTGAACAAATAATTTGCTTCTGCCTTCACTACAGAGGATATAAAAACATTCTTGTAATAATTGTAAATCAGGAGGTGAAAGGGGAACAGGAACTTAGTGAAATTACAATTAGTAGGGAAACAGTGCTAAGTAAACTGATGGAGCTGTGAGCGGTCTCTGGGTTCTTCCTCGGGTCTTAAAAGAAACAACTAGTGAGGTAGTAGATACATTGCTGTTAATTTTCCAATGCTTCCCAGGTTCAATAAAAGTTCCAAACTTTTAACAAGTTAAGGGAGGGAGGGAGACAGAAAACAGGACACTATTGGCATGTTATTTGATGCCCTTCATTGGTAAAGTGTGAGAATTGATCATTAAAGACGTTATAAAGAACATGAGAAATAGGAATAGGGGAAGGCTGCTAGGGTCCTCGAGCCTACTCCAGCATTCAATAGAATCATGGCTAATCCGACATTCCTCACGACTATTTTCCTTCCTTTTCCTCTCTGGATCAAGAATCTATCTACCTATCCCAGCCTTCACTGCTTGCTGTAGCAAGGAGGTCCAAAGGCTCCAAACCAATGAGAGAAGAAATTCCTCTTCATTTCAGTCTTAAATTGACATCCTTTTATTCTTAGACTATGCCTTCTGGTCTTGGGACTCTCCCATGAAGGGCAACTACCCTTACCCTGTCAAGCCCCTTAAGAATCCTATACATTTCAATGAGATCAGCTGTCATTCTCCTAAACTCCAGCGATTGGAGTCCCAATCTGCTTAGCCTTTGCTTAAGATTATCCCTACATACTGGGATCATTCCTAGTGAACCTTCTCTGAACATCAGGGTACTTAGAAAAACTTAAGATAATCAGGAAGAGTCAACATGGTTTCATGAAAAGGAAATCAAATCTAACCCATTTATTATAGTTCTATGAAGAACAGCATTTAGATAAAAGGAAAAATGGAAGCGTATTGTACTTGGATTTCCAGAAGGCATTTCTAGAAGGAGTCACATCAAAGGTTAATGCAGAAAGTAAAAGCTCATGAAGGGAATAAAATATTAGCATGGATAGAAGATTGACAGTTTGACAGAAAACAGAGTTTACATCAATGGGCCTTTAGCAGGTTGCAAAGAATCGAATACTGCAAAGGTCTGTGCTGGGGCCTCAACTTTTTGCAACTTACTGTAATGACTTAGTTGAAAGGAGCAAATGCATGGTAGCTCAATTGCAGGTGACACTAAGATAGGCGATAGGAAAGCATATAATGAAGAAGAAAAAGAATTTGCAGTTGGATCATACATAGATTGTGTGTGTCATTAAGTCATAGAGCACAGAGGCCCATTGGGTCTCTACTGCCAAAACAACACCAGGTCTATACTAGTTCCACTTTCCAGCACTTGACCCGCAGCCTTGAATGCTAAGGCATTTCAACTGCTCACCCAAGTATTTTCTCCTTTACAAGTTGTGAGATTACCTACCTCTACTACCCTCCCAGGCAATGTATGGAAGACATCCATCATCCTTTGGGTGGAAAATTTTTTCCCCAACTCCCCTGATTTCTATCTACACTGTCCATGCCTCTCATAACCTTATACACCACTGTCAGGTCCCCCCTCAATCTTCCCTGCTCCAAAGAAAACAACCCGAGCTTATCCAGTCTCTCCTCATAAGTAAAGCCTGGCAACATCCTGGTGAGCAGATACCATTCAAATGGAGTATAACGCAGGAAAATGTAAAGTTGTTCACTTTGGCAGGAAGAAAAATAAAAGCAGGGTACTGCTTAAATAAAGAATGACTGCTGAATTCCAAGGTGCAGAGGCAACCAGGTGCTCTAATGCATGAGTCACAGAAAGTTAATGTACAGATCTAGCATGTAATCAGGGCAGCTAATGCCATGCCATACTTTATTACAAGAGGAAATGAACTAAAATTAAGGATGTCATGCATCAGTTAGCAGGGCATTAATGAGATCACATCTCAAATACTGAGTATAGTTTTGGTCTTCTTATCTAAGGAAGTACATAAATACATTTAGAAGTGATTCAGAGGAGGTCTATTATGTGTGAGTAATGAGTAGGTCTTTTTGGAATAGGGCAGATAGCCTGTGTTCATTTCTGTTGGAGCTGAGGAAAGTGAAGGGTGACTTGATTGAAGTATATAAGATCGAAAAATGGCTTGACAAGGTAGACATAGAAAGGGCAAGAGTCACCATTTAGGGTAGAGATGAGAATTTACTTTAGGCTTTTGCAACTTTGAATGTGGAATTTGAAACACAGATCAGCCACAATCTTATTAAATGGCAGAGCAGACTCTTGGAATCAAATAGCCTTCTTCTGCTCCTGTTCATATTTTCAGATAAATGCCAGCCTTGCCAGTGATGCTTCCACCCAAAGAACAAATTAAAACAAAGACCCACAGAGATCTGTACTTTGTGGAGACTCTAGGGAATAATGTAAAAGAACTTATAGTCACTTTGTAGTACAGAACTTATGTTTTGCTGAGAAAAGACACATGTTGTCAAAGTTTTTAATCTTGTACTCATTAGGATATTTTGCAAGAATACCAATTCAAGGGGAAAACCAATATTTATTCTGCATGACAGGAGACAGCTGACAGCAAGTGACTGTGATCGGGAGAGGTTACATCAATTAATGTTGACTTTCAGCCTGGAAAATTTGCATGTGTACTGGAAGATATATAAATTAATATACAGCACCTTATTCTTTTCATTCGTGAAGAATACATACATGCACTACATCTATTTTAACTCAACAAAATAGATGACAGCCATTCACTGGTTAATTTTTCAGAGCAAAGCCCTGATCAACCAATCAATCTGCTTGGTTTAAAATGTAAACAAAGCCTGGAATTTAACTGTCAAATCAGTGATGCAATAAATTTCTACGGTGCAGAGGGGGAAATCTATGATTCGTAATCCATTTGAAAAAGGACTCTTTAACCCAAGAGATTTGAAAACCACCATCTCAAGGAACTCCAGTTAATGGAAATTGTTGACTTACCATGGGCAATGGTTCATCGCCATCCAGCATACGTCTGATATTATCAACAATTTCTCTTGTGTCATAATTGGGGATTTTGCAAGCCCATCCTGTGCCAATACCTTCTGCACCATTCACTAGCACCATAGGAATGATAGGCATGTACCATTCTGGCTCAACTCGCTGGTTATCATCATCCAGGTATTTCAAGAGGTTATCATCCATTGCAGGAAACAGCAGACGAGTCAAAGTACTAAAGAAAACAAATCATGATCACTATTTAGTTTATGGAAACTAGCTCAAGCACAACTTTGACACATTGTGTACCAATATCTGGAGGTATTACCAACTTTTTGAAATCCATGGAAATGGCTCTTGTAATCGGCAATGGTAAAAGATAAAGATAATAGTAAAATGTGAAATACTACGAAGAACAGAAAAGATTGATAAAGTTGGGAGCCAATCAAAATAGTGAAGAATGAAGTAAATATGTTTGAAATTCAGGATGTGTAGTTCCTAATAAATATTGGTACTGCTTCAAAGTTCTAAAAGCAGGTCTTTATTCAAACTGCGGTGTGAGCATATTAATTTCTATAAAACTTGTGATCTTCGAACATTAGGGACTCCAACCTAATTCCTTCAAAATCTATATCTCAAAATGCTCAAAAAGAAACACAATATTTAAAAAGAAACAGAACTTTGTATGTAGGGAGAAAGTAGGACTTTTCAAATTAGTAGCTCTCTCCCCAAAATGTTATAATTTTCCTATCATTTTGAAAACAAATTTCCTTCTCCACCAACCTGAGCATAGTGAAAATGTATCGAGGACTTGCAGCATCTTTGCCACCATTAAGCCTTGTACCAAACTGACCAATTGGCTTCAGAAGATTAATATTATTGCTGCCGACAAAGTTCTGAGCTAATCCAACAATTGTCATCATAAGGGATGCCTGAGAACATCAATTAAAGCAGCAGTTAACAAAATGTAGGGAAAAAAACTGATTTAATATTCATTCACTAAAGTACAATTAAGGAATTTTTTGCTACCACTGAATGCTCCATTTACGCTTAAATGGTATATGATACATGATGTGTCTTTCATAATAGAAACTTTATGGGAACAAACATTTCACCCTCAAAATTTATTGATAAACCAATCAAATTAGTTTCAAATGATTTTTTGAAATCTTGTTCATTTATCAACGATTCTAATGACTCAAACAAATAAATGCATAAAAATCACTGGCTCGATTTTTCCATTTTTAGGCTAGATGTTATTTACGGGGAGTTTCATGGCAGGTGTCCTGCATCAGCTCAAAGCGACTTTTCTCACATTATTTTCTGCGGTTCATCTCATTAGATGTACTACTGGCATCTGCGGTCATTCTCATGCAATTATGTGGCAGGAGAGGCGCGATTCTTGCTGTTGCTGGAACCTTCCTCTACACAAGCTGCTAACACATACTTAAGGCCCAGCAGCACACCACTTTAAACACTGCAAGCCACAAACTACCTCACACATTACCCCCTTAGGAAACAGATGTTTCAGGAAGGAATGCTGGCACCATCCTTTTCAGATAGAGGCCTGGAGATCCTGGTGGACGGGTGACAAAGAATTGGTCAGCCTCTCTCCAACGGACAACCAGAGGAGGTCAAGATACCAAATACAGACAGCCTGGACCTTGATACTGGTCTTCATCAGGGTTGTCCCGAGGGTTAAATGAAACACACAGCAAAGCAAAAGAAAAAGTCAAAGATCCTCTGCATTCCAGAAGAGTAATTGCCATCATCATCTTTCCGTTACCTTACACTCATTCTAACTGTGCCACTGCACATAAATCTTGTCAACTTTCTTAGATACCAATCTCACTATTGCATGCAGCATCTCTACTCAACAATTCTCACCCACTTCATCTGCCATAACTAACAATCTGTCCTATCTTCTGGCTTATAAGTGAGCAATCCACAAATGATGAAGGGAAGGCAATGGCCTAGTGATATTATCGCTAGACTGTTAATCCAGAGACCCAGATAATATTCTGGGGACCTGGGTTTGAATTTGAATTCAATAAAATATCTGGAATTAAGAATCTAATGATGACCATGAATCCATTGTACATTGTCGATTGTCGGAAAAAAACCCATCTGGTTCACTAATGCCCTTTAGGGAAGGATACTGCCATCCTTATCAGGTCTGGCCTACATGTGACTCCAGACCCACAGCAATGTGATTGACTCTAAACTGCCCTCTGGGCAATAAATGCTGCCTAGTCAGCGATGCCCTCATCCTACTAATGAAATAAAAAAAAAATGCCAAGTAAGCGTAAACTAAATGAGCGCTAATAAATGAAGCTAAGAACCATAAGATACATCCTGAATAGATGGCTGAGTGAGGGACAAAGCTAACGAGTGAAATTACTGAATGCAACAGGGAGTAGTAATGAACGCGGTGGGCTATATGTGCAATGGCAGAGTTACAGCCAGTGTGAAATAGTGGAGAGAAGACTGGCACTTAGCCTATGGAGTGCACAAAGTCATTCACCCCATTTCTACATTTCTCCTCACAGGATCTCTGCAGCAATCGGGTGGTTATCTCAGTCCAGGCTGACAGCATCTAGTATCATGGTTGCCTTTTGTGGTCCAATGGAAAGAAGACAGCTCTCCTCTCCACCACCCTGTTCACCAAAACATGTAAACGAGCCCAGGTGCTAACTTCCTTTTCTCAGCCATCTCTTGTACAACAACAGCAAGGCATCAGATTTTGAATGACCATTGCTTGATTGCAGCATTTGAAGTGACGCATTACTGTGGCTTAAATGTAGCATCGTACATCATCCCAGCAGCAGTGAACATTCTTGACCCCAACCTCACCATTCAAGAAGGGTGTCATGAAGCACCGATGCATAATTAATAAGGCGAGCAGCTGATGGTTACATAAGAAAATTTACCATAGCCCACTGACAGAAACCTTCTGTTAAACACCCAGACAATGACAGCCAAATTATAAGGAGATTCAACCTCATGCGTTATTAATAACCATTGGTGGCTACTTATTTATTTATTCATGGGATGCAGACCGTGCTGCCATGGTCACATTTATTGCTCACACTGGATTGCCATAATAAGCTAGTGAGCTTTCTTCTTGATACGTTGCATTACTTCTGTCAATGATAGACTCGATGATGTTAGGAGTAGGAAAACTCAAAACATGCCCTTTAATAGTGATGGAGCTTAGTGTATGTTGAAATCATGTGCAGTCAGGGCGTCTTTCTCTGACCAACAGTAGCAATTTTTTGTGATTTACTGTCATAACTTTCTGAGTGGTACTTGCATTTATGACATCCAGGTTGCTAGTTGATACACTGCTGAATGATCTATAGTGCACTGAAAGATTACTTCACATGGGTGGGACTCATTGTGAGCAGTTAAAAAAAGACAGAAGTTTCAATTCCACAAGGCAGGCCTTGGCTGTTTAAAAAAAAGTTTTTGTGGACTTCAGAGGAGGACATCAAACTTCTACTGATGTAAAGAGGGCAAAACTTTATTTAGTCAATTTTAACTTACACAAGTACTGAAAATTCACATTTATAACCCAAAAGCTTAGCTCCTTTCCAAAGTAGGAATTTGATATATGGCATAAAATTCACCAGAACATGAATTCTGCAATTATCATGAATTATTTCCTTGGTAAACATTTTTGTATTTTGCAGAGAAAAACTCATACCAATTAACCAAGTCTTACCTCACCATGATGATAGGCTGACATTTCAGCAACAGAACCAGCCAATTGAGCAACTTTGACTTCACGTTTGTCATTTCGTTTAAAACAGGTGAATAAAACTTTGCGCTGACCAGGTTTCAATCCTTAATTAAAGAATATATAGAATGAAATAAATTCAATTATTCCAAACGAGGCACTCAAGTGAAATTTGCACTTTTGACACTGGGTAAGATCACAGTATGAGGGAGACACTGGCTAGGCCAGCAGTTACTGCCCATCCCTCATTGCCTAGAGGGCAGTTAATTGTTATGGGTCTGGAGTCACATGTAGGCCAAATGGCAGAACATAAGTGAACTAGATGGGTTTCCCCCCACCTAACAATCAACAATGGCTTGATTAAACTCTAAATTCTGGATTTTTATTGAATTCAAATTCATCTACCATGGTGGGATTTGAACCAGAACATTACCTAGGTCTCTGGATCAACAGTCCCGTGATAATACCATAAGGCCATTGTCTCCTCTAATTGTATTACTCAGTAAAACACCATGTAGTACATTTAAACCTACTGGAGTACACCATCTCAGAAAATATGAACTTAACTAACTGGACACAAATTTTAGTCACAGAGAATTGATTCTTTTTGGTTCACATGCAGATGTTGGCACAACTTACAAAATACTTTTTCTGTTCATTCCAACCTGTGCAATGAACTCATTCTTGGTGAATAACTAAATAAACTATTTACCCATATATCATGATTTTATTTTGAGGAAGCTAGAAGATTAATGGTTTGAAATGCACTTTCTGATGCAGTAGGGGAAGCAAACCCAATAGTAACTTCCAAACACAAATCTGATTCTCTAGTAGCTCCAAAGTTCAGTACTGCTGGGACTGAAACCAGTATGCTGACCCCCAAGAAAGGTCCAATGGAATCTCAGATCCAGATAAATGAGGAATATTGAGCAGGGAAGGTTTGGCAACTTTACAGAGGGGCGTGGGGGGTCAGTTTTAAAGTCTGTTCTGGGAAGAAGGAAGGGTAGAGGGGGCTACTACATTTTGCAGGGCATACGTTAAAGGCAGTAACCTCCCTCTACCTCCCTCCTGAACTTTAAAAGAAAAACTTGTTGCCCTTCCTGGCCAACCATGTTATGACACAGACTGTGTAACATGAGGGTCAACTGAGTTTTTAATAGACTCAGTTAACCTTTAATTGTTTATTTAAAATATGGTGGGCATCTTGCTGATTTTAGCACCCACCCACCATCTGAATTATGGGGTAACCTCAGGGATGGGAAGATAGTGGACTAGACACCTACTCTATTTTATGTGACACCCTCCTCTTGCTGCTGAAAACACAACCAGCAGTGTGAGGTAAATCAAGCCCAGAACTAAATTGCATACCTTTCAAGGAATCACCAGAGGCAAAATGGACTCAATGTCCCCTATTTCTCCGTGCTATTTTATTTACCATTGGTCATCAACTGATTTACAACAAATCTACATATTGCAATTTATCATGAAGGCTAGGCACAACAACAAATAAGGGAAAACAGTGAATTAACCTATGGACAATCCTATTTTGCATATTAATATTTTAGTTGGAAAACAAAGGTTATGCTCTGAACTAACAAATAAAACAGTGCATTTTATTATTACAGCTCAAGACTTACCATCCACAAGAGAAGGAATTGACCTCTCATTATCAGAATTTGAGAAGAGCACCAGTTCCTTATTGATAAAGTCATTGAAAGTCAAATATTTTGTTTCTTTTCCATACAAATATTGCTGTAAATAAAATAAAAATCTGATTATGAACATTTGTTTTCCTGAAATATTCTATCAGACAACAACCTGACTATGGCAATTGGACATTTGTAATAACAACCAAGGGTCTATATATTTAATAATTTTGTCTACATACAACTTATTTTATTCAACTTTCACATAACATATTCAAGTTACTAGTTTAACATGTTATTAGATTAAATAAATTTATTGCAACGTGTAGCAAATGAATTTCAATACAGTACATCTGGTAATCCATGCAACTTTCGCTGTCTTCTGTCAACCATGAAGTTAGTCAGCCATTCTTTGCGTTCGTCAATCTTTTTCCGACTAAATGCCTGAAGAATTCAGAAAATAATCAGTTTAGAGCCACAGAGATATACAACATGGAAACAGACCCTTTGGTCCAACTCGCCTATGTCGACTAGATATCCTAAATAAATCTAGTCCCATTTGCCAGCATTTGGCCCATCCTTCTAAACCCTTCCTATTCATATACCCATCCAGATACCTTTTAAATGTTTAACTGTACCAGACTCCACCACTTCCTCTGGCAGCTCATTCCATAAATGCACTACCCTCTTCATGCAAAAGTTGCCCCTTAGGTTCCTTTTAAATCATTCCCCTCTCACCTTAAACCTATGCCCTCTAGTTTTGGACCACTCTGACCCAGGGAAAGGACCTTGTCTATTTACCCTATTCATGCCCTTCATGATTTTATAAACCTCTATAAGGTTACACACCAGCCTCTGACACATAATACATTTAAGTATTAAAAAAACTGATTTTAAGGTTCAGTTCTCACCAGGGTTATTGCAGAATCATCTTCCGGTCCATTATATTTAAAGGGGATACGGTGCCTCTGCATTTCAGCAAAATATTCCTTTGCCTCCTTAGCAGTGCTCGTACCCAAACCTAATGATTTAAATTCAGTAGTTAGATGTTAACCAAGGTAGAGTACACAACTGAAATAGATCAAGAAACTGCATGTCAGACACTTGAGGACATTTAAGAGTTTAGATATATACAGTTCATCCAATAAATCAAAGAATGTTATGAGGCACATGCAAAAGGGAAATACCTGCAAAATTTGTTTCGAGTTGGAAACCAGTCCTACAAGAATGAAGAGCAGATTCTATTCTGATCCATTTACAAGCAAAAATGAAAAAAGTGCTCTATTTTGTTTTTGTTTCTTTCAATTACCAAGAGTAAACTTGAAAATAAAGTCTCACGCAAAAGTGCAAAGAGAACAGTGCCCAAGCCATATCTTACGAGGGAAGTTAAGAGATATCATTTGATGTAAAAAAAAGTGTACAATTTGGCAAGAAAATAAACAACAGACCTAAGAATTGGAAACAAGTTAGAAGTCAGCAAAGAAGATGTAAAAGATTGATTAGAAGGAAAGTACAGAATAAGAATAGCTTGTAGGGAACATAAGAATTAACTGCAAAGGTTTCTATAGATAGGTAAAGAGAAAAAAACTTGGTGAAAACCAATGTATGTCCTTTACAATTCACAATGGGGAAATTTATAATGGGGAACAAAGAAATGGCAGACAAACTACATTGATACTTCACTTCTGTCTTCACAAAGAAGGACATAAATAACATAGCAGAAATGATGAGGAACACAGTGTTTAATGAAAGGGGGAGCTGAAGCAAATCTATTATTAGAGAAATAGTGTTGGAGAAATTGATGTGACTGAAGACTGATAAATTCCCAGGGCCTAATGATCAACATCTCAGAGTACTTGAGGAAGTATCCCCAGAAATAGTGGATGCATAGGTTGTCAATTTCCAAGATAATTTGGACTCTGGAACAATTCCTACAGATTGGAGGTTAACAAATGTAACCCCACTACTTAGAAAGAGAGATAGAGATAAAACAGAATTATAGTCCAGTGAGTCTGACATCAGTACTGGAGAAGATGCTATAATCCATCATCAAGGATATTACAGCAGACCACTTAGACCAGTGGTAGAATCAGACACAAGTCAGCATGGAATTACAAAAAGAAAAATCATGTTTGAAAAATCTGCTGGAAATCTTTGAGGATGTAAATAGTAGAGTTGATGAGGGAGAGCCAGTGGATGAGGTTTATTTGGACTTTCGGAAGGTTTTTGAAAAGTTTCACATAAGGGATTAATGTTTAAAATTGGTGTGAATGGGTTTGAGTGTTGCGTATTGAGATGGATAGAACATTAATTAGTTAGTGATTATAATGAGGTCAGCCAGGTGAACCTCAGAATGAGTTCCCTGATTGGGACTGTTAATCTGATCCAATCAGGGAGCCCTGGCTGACAGATATAAACAGGAGTGTCAGAAGTTCTGTTCACTCTGGCAGCTGACAAAACTGAAACAGCCGTGGTGATGGGAGAGACCAAATGGCCATCACAACCAGAATTGAAACATATTTGGACTCGGAGAATCCAGATCACATTAGAGGACAGCATATTATTACGGGAGCAAGAGTGATTGTCCCTAGCAAAGGCTGTCGCCAGATACTGGCTGAATTCCACTAGGGCCATCTAGGGGTTTCCAAAACGAAGATGTTAGCAAGAAGTTATGTCTTGTAGCCAGGATAGGATGCCAACATAGCTGCATTGGTGGGGCAGTGCCCAGGGTGCAAACGAGGAAAAATATTACTGCCAGCAACTCCGCCAAAATTCATGGGAATGGCCAGGTAAACCCTGGACTCGTTTACATGTCGACTATGCAGGTCTTTTCATGGGCTCAATGTTCTTAGTCATTGTGGACACCAACTCAAAATGGCTGGACTTGCATACAGTTCATTCATAAACACAGGAACAACGATAGAAAAGCTATGTGCAACTTTTGCAATACATGGATTCCCAGAAATGTTTGTCACAGATAATGGTCTGTCGTTCACCAACAGGGAATTTGAGTATTTCCTAAAGTTGAATGGTATTCGTCATGTTAGGACAGCTCCAACCCATCCATCATCCAAAGGTCAGGCAAAAAGGGCAGTCCAAATTTTGAAGAAAGGCTTAAAGAAACAACCCACAACTTCACCAGTTACCAAACTGTCCTTGTTTCTATTTGATTATAGGACCAGCCCTCATGCAACTGCAGGGATAGCTCCAACAGTGTTGCTAATAGAGAGAAGGACCTGGACCTGGGTGGGGGTGAAATGGCATCAGGAATGCCCATGCCGGACACAATACCCCGCTAAGCAAAAGAGATGGTTTACTTCAGGAGATGAAGTTTGGTGTAGGAACCACAGGAATGGCCCTGCATGGATGACAGATACGGTCAATGTGAAGTCAGGTCCAGTGACATGTAATGTTCAGGTTGGTGAAACACTCCTGAACAAGCATGTGGACCATATGAACGCCGTGAACTCGCAAACGGAGGAGGAAAACGTGCCCGGCTCCTCAACTGCCTTTCTGACTGTTCAGGAACCCATGGGTTCTTCCTCTTCGTGAAACGTTGAAGAAACCTCAAAATCTGAGATGGACACAGCGGATGTTGCCACCTTGACGCCTTTGCCACTTGAAGAGGAGAATGAATTTCTTCTGAGATTCTCTGGGTGCAAGAGGCGGGCTAGTGTGTGTTACACACCACCCATATCAGAGGCAGAGTTTGAGGAACCTGATCCGGTGCTATCTGATCAAAGGGAAACCAGAAAAAATAAGAACCGGCCTATGTCCTTGGACTTAGAGAGGTAGGAATGCAGTGATTGTAACAAGATCAGCTGGTTGGAGCTCATAGAATATCTGTGTTTTCATGAAGAAGGTAGATATAGCTTATGGCTACGGGCATGTTGGGCGGGCCGGTTGGGGGGGCGGGGGCGCGGGGAAGACAATAGGCTCTTCAGCTCAATGCTCATAGTGAATCCCAGAGCAGGTTATTTCTGTTCCTATCTACGCAAAGTAAATAATTAGGTTCTTAGTGTTGAGAGAGTCACCACACAGAGTTTCCAAACAAACCTTTGTAGTATTTTATTTTCCAAGTCTTGTTGTTCTCTGTATTACTTTTCCACTCTTCAAATTCAGGAATACTGTAAAATGCAATTTCCTGCTTGTTTTTTGACACCTGGAAAAAAAAATCGAACTTATATTGTTGCCTTAGTTTATGGCACATTGGGATAATTTTGACAAAATTAAACAATTATTAATCTTTTACATGATAGGCCCTCCTGCAATTATTTTCATTAAATACTATTCAGAATGAAAACAAACCTTTACAATTGGAGTAATAAATTCCTCAACGAAATTATGCCTGAGCAATGAAGGCCAGTTGTGATGAATGAAATTGATTACTAAGCCCTTGATATGTGACCCATCTTGATCCTGCAAAACAGTAATTCAAACGAATTAGGATTCAGATTATAGATAACGGAACATTTTTCACAAGCCTGCATAATGGAATGCTTCAGGTCAAAAGAAAAGAACTTAATAAACAAGACTTCAAATATTTCCTCCTCCTTGCTATATCATGTGATATGCAAGGACAAGAAAGTTAAAATATATCAGATGTCAACAAAAAAGTCACACTTGCAAAGTTAACAAACAATCTGATGTTACCTTAGAATTCTTCCTGATCTTTCACTTTTCTTACTTTTGACCATAAATGGAAAAAAAAAATGCTCAATATGTCCCAATTTGGACATTCACAACAGTAAATCAGTGATACTAAAACTTGCACAGTGAAGAATAGCACAGAGATTGTAAAGTGAACTTGCTGTCAAATTTTTAAAACATTAGCATATTTAGAATACAATGAATTTGGTGTACAAATTCTGCAATGAGAGGAAAGTCCCACTGAAATTATTGCATTATCTGCAGAAGTAATAGATCGTATTTTATTTGTTCTCACAATTGCTGCCACACTGTGGCCAAATTTTAATACTGCAATACATTTTCCTACATTTAATTCATACATGATTAAATCATCAGATTATCTTTAGCATGATCAGTCCTACAGCAATTTGGACTTTAAAATAAAAACAACACTGCAAATGCTGGAAATTGGAAATAGAAGCATTGCTTGAAGTGCTCAGCAAGTCTAGAAGTATCTGCAGAGAGCAAAACAGAATTAACGTTCCAAGTCGAACATGACTTTTTTCAGAACTGAAGAGCCATATTAACCTCAATATGCTGACTGTTTCTCTCCACAGATGCTGGCAGACCAGATGCGGAGTATTTCTAGCACTTCCTTATTAGAAATTTATACCTTGTTCCCCTAGTGGTATTGACTTGCAATACAGTGCATTTGAACAGGTTGCACTTTTGCGGAGTAGGGGTGAAGGAGAGTGATGGCATAGAGAGGACAGGGTGATTTGCAGTGTTGTGGCAAATTATTGAATCATCAAATGTGTATTCATAGTGTGAATATTTTACACTATTAGAAGAGGCGACCAATCCTTTTCAATGCTACCAGTCAATTAGACCTACCTGATCTGTCATAATCATCAATTTTCCATAACGAAGTGTCTTAAGAGACTCCTGATCATCATAATTCTTCTTGTATTGCAGACCAATGATTTTTATCATGTTGTTGATCTCAGCATTTTCCATAATCTGTGAGGTAAAAATAACATTAAAATGTAATCCAAATATTTCTGACTGCATACCAAAGTAGCCATCTAATTTATTATCTATTGGGATGGACAACAAATACAGTGAACAACAGCAAGGTTCATTTACTGAAATATCTTCAAAGAATGGGCAGTACTCTCTTGCTGACCTGACCCTTTGTGCTAAATCAAGAGCAGAACTGTACGTGACTGGACAGGGAACATATTCTCACTGCTGGAGGTATAAAAGTGAGAAAAAACATAGCAGATTGGAACACGGCACTGTATATCCTCTACTGAAAAAACTACAATATTAGTGTACAAGAGGATATTTCTTGAAAGGTAATGTCCAAAGCAGTCACACTACATTAGTGAATCAACTAATAACGTATTGGTTGGGGGCATTTTAAAAATGTGAACGCACCATGTAAATATTGGTTAATTATTCTATGTAACACAGAAATTGCAAGGTTATAAAAATAACTTCTCTCTGGGTGACTGAATTAGTTATCTGCTGAGAGAATAACTCTCTACATCTCAATTTGTAAATTCAGAATGATTAAAGTTTCTAACAATCTATTTTAAATTTTGCTTATTGCAAATTTTAACATGGCTCTTTCCACACTTTATGCAAGTTGTCTTCTGAAAATCTTATCACTTTCAGACTTGACTACTCCAAGGATTTTGTGCTGACTTTCTACCTTTCTTGAGCATCTAAAACTCTGGTTTTCAATATCCCATTTCCCACTACCCTTGTGCACTGTAACCGACATTGCATCCCGGCCCACAATGTCTCAAAAGATAAAAGTCTTGATCAAATCCTTTCATTATCTCATCCCTTTCTTGACAAGGTTAGTTCTTCTGGTGCTGCAGAAACCTGTTGTTGATTTCTGCAAATCTAACCTCTTGAAGCCACTACTAAAAAACTTACCATTTGGATTATGCCTTGTGAAGTGCTTTGGGACATTTTCAATATTCGAGATGCTGAATAAATTCAAATATCATTCCAACACAAATAGACAATTTACATCTTACATCAACCTACCTGTTTGTGAGAGGCTTCTCGTACATTGAGAAGTTTCCCTCTAAGTGGAAACACGCCATATCTGTCTCTTCCAACAACTCCTAGACCCGATACAGCCAAAGTTTTGGCTGAATCACCCTCTGTTAGGATGAGGGTACAACTATGAGAATGCTTTGTTCCTGAAAGACAAAGGTGAATAACAATTTGTATTTCACAATGGATTTACATGTTTTTAAAATTTTCTTCATTGGATGTGACCATCATGACAAGGCCATTTTTTAAACTCTTTCAGTCCATGTTGTGCACATATACCCAGTTATGCTGAGGAGTGAATTACAGGATTTTAACCCAGTAACAGTGAAGGAAACCATGAAGCAAGATAGGGACACAGACAGCAGCTTTCATGTGGTGTCATTCTCATGTGTGCCTGTTTTTTCCAAATAAAAGCATTTCTGAGTTTGGGCAATGCTGTTGAAGAGATCTTGATGAGTTCCTTTTAGAATTTAAATGCCACCGCGCACCAGCGGTGGACAGAGTGAACGCTTCACCTGGTGTCTGGCGTGGCAAGGTAAAAACTTTCTCTAGTGTCATTGGAAATGAACTCAAACAGTCATAGTGTATCATGCTCCTGAACTGTGACTTATAGGTGTTGGAAATGCCACAGAATTTTCATTTTGATAGTGGGGATTCAGCAGAGGTAATGTCATTGAACATCATGGGGAAATGGTTAGATTCTCTGTGGTTGGAGATTATCATGGTCTGGCAATTCTGCACCGCCACAGTTATTTGCCACTACCAGCTCAAGTCTGAATGCTGTTCAGATCTTCAAGCAGCCATTCCTGCTTGCATCAAGTCATGAGGAGCTGTTAATGATATTCAAAATCTATGTTCCCCCAAATTTTTTTCTGCATGGATCTTTGGAGGTTTGAGCAAGTGGGATCTTCTAAAACTAGGAAGTCAATGTTGAGAATGGAGTTGGCATGCCAATGGGTGTACACGGGCCCTCAGAATGGCTGCATATCCTGGCAGGGTAGACAGAACGTTGTTCAACGCTATGGAATCGTTAGCAAACATTCCCACTTCTCACTTTATGATGGAAAGAAGATCATTGCTAAAGCAGCTGAAAGACCTTTTGCAATTTCCTAGGAGTAAGTTATTGGCTTCAAAAACTACAATCATTCTCCTTTGTTAGGTATGACTCCAAACAATTGAAAAGATTTTGAACTGATTCCAATGGACTTCAATATTGCTAGGGCTCAAAATGTCATAATTGGTTCAGTGCTGATGACAAGTGATTCTCAGCTCATCTGAAATTCTTTGAAAAACAAAGAAATTTGTCTTTGTTTGAACCAAGGCTATAATGAAGTCTGGAGCTGATTGGCCCTGTCTAAACCTCAACTGAACACGGGTAGCAGGTTGTTGCCAAACAAATATTTACAGCATGTTTGAGACAAATTGACAACAGACTGATGAGTGGTAATTTGCCAGATTGGATTTGGTCTAGGTAATTTTTCACATTGTTGGGTAGATTCCAGTGTCATAAGCCGCAATGGAACAGCCTGGCTACAGGCCTGGCTAGTTTTGGAGAATAAGTCTTTGGTATCAAATCTAGGGTATTGTGGAGGCCTACGCATATGCTGTTTTCAGTGCATCCAGCTGTTAGTTGATATCACATGAAGCAAATTGAATTGGCTGAAGACTGTGTCGATAACTTTAGGAACAGCAGAGCATGGATGAATCATTTGGCACCTCTGTACAAAGATGATTGTAAATTATTTTGCAGTGAGGTACTCAGCTCCCCCAGCATTGAGGATAGAGAAATTGGTACAATCTTTTCCTCCAGTTAGTTATTTTGTTGACCACTACCTTTCATGACTGGACACAACAAGGCTGTACAGCGCTGATCTGTTAGTAATGGGGGTCCTTAATACTGTTCACAGTATGTTGTTTCTGCTGTTTAACAATTGCATTTTAGCGGAAGCAATGCTATAATGGCTGGATTTTCATCTTTAAAGCAGTTACTGGGCGTCAGGCAAGTGCGAGCAGCAGTTGGGCCAGCTGACCAGAGAGAAAGTTTAGAGTAGTTAACAGTCTGCCAAGCTGTTTAAAAGGCCCACAGCAACACATCTCAATTATAATGAAAACAAATGAGGCCCCCTTCCTCTCACACTCCCAATACCCATCCATGCCAGTCTATGCTCATCCATGACCGCCTACTCTGCGTCCATTAAACCACTACACATTCTAATTAGAACCAAAGAAACCTAGATTGAAAATAGGGTGTTTAAAAGGTGTGAAAAAGAATTTTGTTTTTTTAAGAAAGACTCTTTGCACCACGATCCAAAAGTATCAATCATCCACAATCTTGAAAGGAACAATAGCTGAAATTACAAGCAGTTGAAACTACATTACTTCATGTAAGCATTGTGCAATTGACAAAAACAAACAACCAGAGAGCCAAAGCAGTCAATTATGCAATGTTTTCTGACTCAACAGTCCAATGGATGACTGAGCTCTCATCTAAGTGAATTCAGTAATACATGATGAGGTCCATACAAACAACAGGACATGACCGCTTAATTATATACACATGAACTGAAGTAAAGGACTATGGTTGCGCATCACAAACTATTTTCCAGCATGTCACGATTTTGACTTGAGAGCATCTTCTTGAAGAAGATTAAGGATGGGCAAAGACTGGCTCTGCCTGTGATGTCTATAAAGTTCTTGAGAAGTACTGTGATCCCAGATGTCAACAAAAAAAACCAATAAAGCAGCATAGTAACATTTGATGTGTTATTATTAATGCATTATAAGTGAACATATCACATAATGTAAATATGAAATCAGTATTTTAAAGTATTTAATCTGTTTCTCAGCCTTCCCTGCCATCTTCTCCTACTCCTCACCAATTGACTTCTCATCCAAGTTCAGTGGTATTGATTTCTACAGTGGAGGCAGACTGAGTGAAGTAAAGTACTATGTCTGTAGGAGCAGCAGGTATGGGGTGGGGATGGGGGAGAAAAAGCTTGGGGGATAGGGAGTGGGGGAAGTGTATGTGTGGGTAGCTTCCAATCACAGAATGCCAGTCAAATTGGCAGCAGGCTCAGGAGTGGAGCCGATGGTCACGACCTCCTGAGCAGGGAGAAGTGCACAAGAAAATTTGTAAAGTAGAATTCGCAAACTGTAATTTCACCCAGCGGCATAAATTTCTCATTCCTGTTGATACTTATATTCATCTGATTCAGCATTGCCTTACATGGAAAAATTAGCTTGAGAACAATGCAATTAATGATTGAGACTAAGTTAACTGACAGAATACTCTGATCTGACCAATATTTACATTCTGTAACAACTGTCATCAAAAAGACCATTCCCACATTATAATTTTACAATCACTACTCCAGATATTTGACATGAAAACAAATCAGATCAAGTCAGCACATTCAATACATAGTGCTCCAAATTATTCAGAACAAAACTAAGGTCACAAATCACACAGGCAAGAGTTGTCCTGTTGACACCTGAAACACCAATCGAAAATTTATTCCTTAATCACTTCAAGTATTAAGTACCACATGGGCAATTAGCTGAATCTAACACTGAAAATAATAAAAAGCATCTGTGACTAATTTGTTGTCGTAGTGAACACCCATGTTTTGAACAGTGATTCACAGGACTCAGTACTGAATGTTTTAGTTGATGCTAATTTGAGGTGGCTTATAGAATGCTCAAAGTACAAATAACTAATTCTTTCAGACAGATAAATGAATTGACTAAATATAATGAATGCAAGAATAGAATTCCTAACTGTATTTATATTACAGGTCATGGTAAACAGTCAAGCACTTAATCATTGTTCTAGAACTTAAAATTCACAAAGACAACAATTTACATGTTTTAAGTTAGGGCATCTTCCAGTTCCAGCTCACAAATCTTATTTTCTTTGCATTAAAACACTTAGTACCTCAACACTGAGCCTTTACTTTGACAAAGGATTTTTACTTTATTAATATGTAATTGTTCCTACCAAGGCTGGAGCAAAACTTGACCTTCTCTTGAGAATTAAGGAAGGGCAAGTGACTGAAGCATCCAAATGGGAACACTTTGAGACTAGTGTTGATAATTCTATTAATTTTAAAATAGTTCTAGAAAAGGATAAGCCTTCCATAAAAGTTAAACTTCTTAATTGGAGTAAGGCCAATTTTAATGGCATGCAATAAGAATTTTCAAAAAGTTGATTGGAGTAGACCACTCGTAGGTAAAGGGACAACAGACAAGTGGGAGGCATTCAAAAATATGATAACGAAAATTCAGAGACATTATGTTCCAGTCAGAGTGAAAGGTAAAGCTGGTAAGATTAGGGATCAATGGATTAATAAAGTTATTGAGGTTCTGGACAAGAATAAGAAAGAATCACACATTAGATATAGACAACTGGGATCAAATGAATCTCTTGAATAGTACAAAGAGTATAGGGGCATTCTTAACAGGGAAATGAGGAAGACAAACAGAGGATGAGATAGCCTTGGCAGATAAGGATAATCCAAAGAAATTATATGTTCTTAAGAGCAAGGTCTCTTAAAGATCAACGGGGTTGTCTTTGTGTTGAACCTCAGGAGATGGGAGAGATATTAAACGGATATTTCGCGTCAATTTTTACTGTGGAGAAAGAAATGGAGGTGAGAGAACTCAGGGAAATAAACATTGATGCTTTGAAAACAGTCACATTACAGAAGTGTAAGTTCTGGAGGTCTTAGAAACATAAAGGTGGATACATCTCCGGACCAAATCAAGTCTATCCTCGAATGATGTGGGAAGTTAGGGAGGAAATTGTGGGGCCCCTAACTGAAATATTTATGTCATTTATAACCAACGGTGAGATGTCAGAGGACTGGAGGGTGGCTAATTTTGTGCCTTCATTTAAGAAAGGCTATAAGAAGCAGCCTGGAAACTATAGGCCTGCAAGACTGACATCAGTGGTGGGTAATTTGTTGGAGGTGATTCTGAAAGAAAGGCTTCACATGCATTTGGAGGGGTAAGGAATTATGAGGGATTGTCAGCATGGTTTTGTGCAAAGGAAATAGTGTCTCATGAACTGATTGTGTTTTTTTGAGAAAGTAACCAAGAAAATTGATGAGGGCAGAGGGGTGGACATTGTTTACTTGGACGTTAGTAAAGCCTTTGAAAAGGCTCCGCATGGTAGACTAATTAATAAAGTTAGATTATATGGCATTCAGGGTGAGCTTGCCAATTGGAAACAAAATCAGCTTTACGGTAGAAGACAAAGGGTGAAGGTATAAAATTGTTTTTCAGACTGGAGGCCTGTGACCAGCGGTGTTCCAAAGGGATCCGTACTGGGTTCACTTTTGTTTGTCATTTATATAAATGATTTGGATGAGATTAGGGAAGGCATGGTTAATAAGTTTGCAGATGACACCTAAATTGATGGTATAGTGGACAGTGAAGTAGGTTGTCTAAGATTACAAAGAGATCTTGATCACTTGGGTCAATAGGCTGAGGAGTGGCAAATGGAGTTTAATTTGGATAAATGTGAGGTATTGCATTTTGATAAAACAAACAAAGGCAGGACTGATATAACTAATGGTTGGGCCCTGGGTAGCATAGTAGAACAGAGAGACATAAGGGTTCAGGCACATAATTCTTTGAAATGTGCGTCACAGGTAGACACAGTGGTTAAGAAGGCATTTAGAATGCTTGCCATCATTGCTAGAGTGCGGTTAGTTTCTTGAATGAACTGTCAGAGGAAATAGTTGATGCAGGTACAGTTACAACGTTTAAAAGACATTTGGATAAGTACACGAACAGGAAAGATTTGGAGGAATATAGGGCGAATGCAAGCAAGTAGGACCAGTTTAGTTCGGGAACATGGTCGTCACGGACTAGTTGGACCAAAGGATCTATTTCCATGCTGTGTGCCTCCATGACTCTAAAATATAATGAATTTGATTTGATTTATTATTGCCACGTGTACTGAAATACAATGAAAAGTATTGTTTTGCGTGCTAACAGACAACGTTTTACTGTATAGGATCATGGAATCCCTACAGTGTGGAAGCAGGCCATTCGGCCCACCAAGTCCACACCAACCCTCGGAACAGCATCCCTCACTGACCCACCGCCCCTCCTCCCGCAACCCTATAATTCCCATGGCTAATCCATCTAGCCTGCACATCCCTGGACACTATGGACAAGTTAGCATGGCCAATCCACCTAACCTGCACACCTTTGGACTGTAGGAGGAAACCGGAGCACCCGGAGGAAACCCACGTAGACACGGGGAGAATGTGCAACTCCACTTTGGGAAGATGATGGCCTAGTGGTATTATCGTTGGACTGTTAATCTAGAGACCCAGAAAACGTTCTGGGGACCCAGGTTTGAATCCCACCGTGGCAGATGGTGGAATTTGAATTCCATAAATATCTGGAATTAGGAATCTAATCAAGACTGTGAATCCATTATCGACTGTCGGAAAAACCCATCTGGCTCACTAATGTCCTTAGGGAAGGAAACTGCCATCCTTACCTTGTCTGGCTTACATGTGGCTCCAGACCCACAGCAATGTGGCTGACTCTTAACTGCCCTCTGGGCAATAAGGGATGGGCAATAAATGCTGCCTAGCCAGTGACGCCCTCATCCCATGAATGAATAAAAACATAGTCAGCTGAGGGTGGAATCAAACCCAAGTCCCTGGCATTGTGAGGCAGCAGTGCTAATCACTGTGTTGCCTAAACAGGCTAAACGCACACAGGTAGGGCCAGTTTAGTTTGGGAACATGTTCGGAATGGACTAGTTAGACTGAAGGGTCTGTTTCCATGCTGTATGACTCTATGACTACGTGACAATCATAAATCAAATCAAATCTCCTCAAAACATTAAGTGCAACAAATGCCAGAAATCTCATCATACCAGCATCATTAGCATCATCCAGTTTAGGAATTCCTTTGATCTTGGTTTGTTTTAATCCTGAGCATTTCTTGTTGAGCATATTCTGAGCTTTAAACTTCACCCAGTTCATGATACTTTCAACGACACCACAATTCATTGCCTACAAATGAAACAGAGGAACATTTAGTGGAACAATTTCACAACTGTTTATATAGCTCTGGTCCAAGAAATCAAGCATTACTAATCAAATAGATAAAAAATATTTTAAAAACGTCAATTAAAAAATAAAGTAGTATCAGCAGGTTTCATGAACTAGGTATCTAAGTTCTATCTACAGAGAAAGGCAACTTTAAGGCTGAATCCCAATCCTTTCTCTTGGAAAGTCTTTAGTCTCTGTTCATCAATTCAATAATAACACCACAGCAAAGAAGATACAGTAAACTACAGTTTTGTGTTTTTGATCCTACTAGTCAATGTCAGCAAGTTGAAACTCTTGTCATACACTCCACAATCAAATATTTTGCCCTCTGAACTGTAAAAATGTGCTGATGACTGAAATCAAACTGTGAAAACTATGTAGTACCAAGACAGATGTTGACATAGTACTAACTAGGAAGCAAAAGTACGGACAAAATAACCAAATTATGAGCATAGCAAAAGAACGTAAAGCAATAATAGATGATTTTGCCAGCAGATTGATAACAGACAGACATAGCAAAATTGTAAACATAATTTAGGGAAAACAGCGACATAAGTAAGACAAATAATAAAATTTGTAATGTACTGCAAGAATAGAGATGGACACAGTAGGTGCACAGTCTTAAAGGCAAGTATAGATTTAAAAGTCATAAAACGTAAATGAAAGATATCGGAGATCATAGAACAGAATGCATACAGTGTGGAAGCAGGCCATTCAGCCCATCGAGGCCACACTAGCCTTCTGAAGAGCATCCCACCCAGATCCACACCCCTACCCCTTCCCTGCATTGCCCATGGATAACCCACCTAGCCTGCACATCGCTGGACACTATGGGCAATTTAGCACGGCCAATCCACCTAATCTGCACATCTTTGGGCTGTGGGAAGAAACCGGAGCACTCACAGGAAATCCACGCAGACACGGGGAGAATATGCAAACTCCACATAGACAGTCGCCTGAGGGTAGAATCAAACCCAGGTCTGTGGTGCTGTGAGGCAGCAGTGTTAATTACTGAGCCACCGTGCCGTCCTGTCAGAGCACCCGTTCAATTTTGCACATTGCAACAGATAAAACATTGTTGATTCGCTAGATGAAACCAGAATGAGAACTAAGAGCTCCAAAGTTAGAAAATCTTTTTCAGTGTAATCAGAACTTTAACACGATGATCAGTGATGTTATTGTTCTCAAGTTAACTGGATAATACTTTGAAAGTAAAGCTATATAAAGAAAACAAGAAAAGAACAGGATTAAAATTAGATAAATTAGTAAAGATGAACACTGGCAAGATGCAAAGGATCACATGGCTACTATGTTGTAATTTCATTACTACAAAATTGCTGTGCATTACTCAGGTAGACGTTTCACTTGAATCACCAGTGTTCAAAACAGAAAAAAGTCAAAGCCAAACATACCGCTTTGATAAATTTTTCTGACAACACACATTGGGATCCAAAGTTCTTTGCTTGAAGGGTCATATTCTCTTTGGTCTGGGAGTCAAAAGTTGGGTTCTCAATCAAGCTGTTCACAAAGACCCAAAGATGGTTCTTGACCTGTCACAGATCCGAACTTATGTTAGACATATACACACAGACAACACAGAATAATCAAATGTTTGCAGTCATAAGCAGCAAAGCGCAACACTACGCAGAAATTTTAACAACGAAGAGATGAAGGAGACTTTTTTCTGCATCAACAAATCCACCTTAAGATGACAAATTCATATGAATTCAAATTTAAATTCAGGCGTTCAGACAACAAATATTAGCAAAGGTCAAACTGACAACAGAACTCAAGTTTACTACAATTTCTTTTGATGTCTACCTATTTACAAAATTGGAGGACCGGATGATATTTTAGTTTCACAATTAAATCTGAGGACCATAAGTGAACCGGAAATTATCAGATTTTTGGTGTTCTATCTTTAGTTAGTACTCCAGTCATACAGAAAATCCCTCAGGTCATTATTTGAAGTAGCCCACAGGAAAATGTAAAACAAAATTGGGTGCTACGATCCCCCTCAATTAAAATCCATCTTCTACTGCATAATAGCCAGTTAATTACATTCAAAAGATAAATTTCATTTTGAGAGATCATACGGTCAAAGTGCATTTTCTACAAATCTTACCTGAAATGGCTTCACTGCAACACCTCCTTTATTTTTCTTCTTGACAACCTCAATTAGTTTGTTCACTAATTGGTCAGTGACGTAATCAACATGTCTTCCACCCTGGAAAAAGAAATTGTCACACGAGCATTAAAATCCTTCAAGTAAAACAGAGGAGAACCAGCTTCCAACTCTGATGGGTTTATTCTTGGTAACAGTGTCTTCAGCCAAAGAGCTGACAAGCTTTGAAATTATTTGGTCAATCCACATTACATTAACAAACACTTTGCCAACCACTTCATACCACAAATTTTCAACCAAGCTTTTAGTAACCATACTTAGCAACTCCTTTGGTTCAATGATGACTAATGTCTATAGCATCTTTGAGAAACACCTCGTCAATTTTTCTACATAATAGGTGCTATGTAAATGCAAGGTGTTGTTATTAACAAGTATTTTGCTGCCCAGTTCAATACACAAGCTCACTCTCATTGTGGATTACAGATTGATCTGTCGTTTCCTTTACTGTGTCAAAATTGCCATGGGGAGACGATGCCCTAGTGGTATTATTGCTGGACTATAGAGACACAGGTAATGTCCTGGGGACCGGGGTTCAAATCACACCACGGCAGATGGTGGAATTTGAATTTAATAAAAATCTGGAATTAAACATCTAATGATAACCATGAATCCATTGTTGATTGTTGGTGAAATTCCTTTAGGGAAGAAAACTGCCATCCTTGTCTGGTCTGGCCAGTGACTCCCACACCCCACGAATGAATAAAAGAAGGGTAGATGATCATCTTCAATCCAGCTAAGATTTTAGATTGCCAATTTTGTTTTAAAAGCTTCAAAATACAAGAATTTGTGCTGTCTACTTGGATTTTTTAAGAACTGAACTGATACTGAGCAATGCTTACTCCATTTATCACCAAATATGCAAGCCAGGTGGTGACTTAAATTTACTAAATGGCCAAAAGGATAATATGCTAATTCTATGTTCCTTGCAACTCCCAACCTGAACTTTTTGTTCTCTGAAAAACTGCCCTACGAATATGGCTTGCATGACTGCTAAAACACTGGCATGGTTAAGATCGCTTAATGCAAGCAAAATCAGATTGTGGATCTTTACAGCCTGTGTAATTCAGCTACCCTCAATAATCGGTCAATCCATCAAGATAGCTGTTTCTTTTCAAGTCATCCTCTCCAAGACAATATATGTGTCCAAACGCCTGTATAACTATTAAAAAGAAAAAGCTTACCTTTGTGGTAGCAATGCTGTTTGCAAAGCTTATCTGTTGGAAGCCTTTCTCACTCATAGTCATACAGACTTCCCACCGTTCATTTACAACTTCATGGATTATTTTAAGTGAGCTACCCGTTTCATCCACTTTATCTTTTACATAAAGATCCACATAGCTACGGAATCCAGAAACCTATAAGCAAAAAGACAAATGTACCAGTTTTGAACAACGGCGAAGACTTTGCAGCATTACGATGGTGAAACTGTCAATGCTCCCTAACACTACTCCTCTGAAACTGACATCTTAAGTCCACACGTGCAGTTAAATGCAGCACTGTGGAAGTTGCTACCCATGATTATACATTTCTTTGGATGGTACAGTGGTGAAGCGTCCCTAGCCTGCAAGCAATTAGAAATCACTGAGCTTATTAGAACTTTTCTTTTTATGGTATTAGTCAATTGCAACAACCCTTCAAAACGTCAGTTTGCACGTCAAATAACAGTGTTCAATACTGCATTGCTGAAATACCTTGGTAATTCAATATTTGTGGAATGTTAAATTTCTCCATAACAATCAGTAACTCCACATACTTTAAAATATATTTTAAGACTTTATGATATTCTGTTACTGCTACAATCTCATTTATATTTCCAATCATTTACTTCATTCTAAATGTAAATTCAAACATTTAAGGATAATCAGTGCACTTTCTTTCTGGTTTGCAGCCTTTCAGAATACTTCATTGTAATTGGCTATTTACTCTGTTTAATAACTTGATTGCCAGACTCCTCATGACTGCCTTGGCTAGACACCAGTTTCAAACTAACACCAGAAAGGGAAAACTCACACCAGAGATTACAAGATTTTTATGGGTAGATTCCTTTAAGGTTAGTAGCAGACACACTTGCCTCATTGTGAAAACCAAGTAATGATCTAATTTACTGCTCAGTTCTGTTCAAGTGTATTTAAATTGAAACTCTCAGGAATTATTGCAGAAAACCTTCCTTACCCTTGATTGAACCCAAGGACAGAAGAATGAAATTGTACTATTACATGTAACAGAAATCTATTCAGTGGGTCAACTTGGTGGTGGTAGTGGTGGGGTAGGAGGTGAAATCCAGAGGTCAAGAAGCACATCATCTATCTGCTTTGTCTAAGAATTACTAATACACACTCTGTATGAAGCGTATAAAAACTTTTCGGAGATCAATAACCTGAATACACAAATGAATATTTCTTTTGAAGCTTCAAAACAAGCAGCAGCAACATTGATGTACTTTAATTTTTCTGTTAAATATATAAACTAAATGTTTTGACTAAATCATTATATAACATTCAACATTAAAATGAAACCCACAAAAAGCTATTCAAGTTTTAAAACGAAATTGAAATAAAAAACTAACTCGCTAATCTTAAAAATGCTGCAGCATTCAGCTATTTACACCAGTCTATATCACCGCGAGCATCCAGCCCCCTCCCAACCACTGCACACAAAACGTAAATCACCCCCAACAGTATTATTTAAAACGTACAGGTAATTTCTTGCCATTTAGGAATACTTTGACTCCTTTACAAGTCCCAGCAATATCATACGCTCTTCGTGACATGATCGCCACAATGTCTTTATCAAGTGTCTGCATTTTGAACTTAGGAAGATCAGGTTGAAAAGTGATACAAGTGTAGTCATCACCGTCAAAGGACTTGATTTTAGCTTCTTTAGCATCTCCCATATTGTTCATCCAAGTCTGCAGATCAAAAGCACAGAAAAATAAAAAAAAAAACCACCTTGAATAAATTTAATGTTCTCAGAATTTTACAAGATTTTAGATAAAAGTCTGAAATGGTTTTAAGTAAGAACTTAACTAAAAGCAAAAGTAATAATAACACGTAGTGCAGTAGGGTCTGACAGGGATTCCCAAGAACAAATACAACTAGGGAACAGATGATTATATGCAGCTTTATAAGACTTTGGTTAGGCCACACTTTTGAGTACTGCACTCAATTCTGGTCACCACATTACAGGAATAATGTGGAGGCTTTGGAGAGGGTGGAGAAGAGGTTTACCAGGATGCTGCCTGGATTGGAGGCTATGAGCTATAAGGAGAGGCTAGAAAAACTCGGGTTGTTTTCTCTGCAGTGGCGAAAGCTGAGGGGAGACTTGATAGAAGTCTATAGACACGGAGATTTTTTTTTCACGTAGAGTGGTAGGAGTCTGGAACATGCTGCCAGGGGTGGTGGTAGGAGGCAGATAAAATAGGGCCATTTAAGGGACTTTTCAATATGCACGTGAATACGCAAGGAATGGAAGGATATGGACCAAAGGCAGGCAGAAGGGACTAGTTTAATTTGGCATAACATCGTTGCTGGAAGGGCCTGTCCCTGTGCTGTGTTGTTCTTTGAAATTGTTACAGTGCTTACATGATGTATCTTTAGGGAACAAGTATTGCTTGAGTTTTGTGCTGCTTGAAAATTGTATGCCCAGACAAGTTATATAATCAATATCTAATGTTTAACATTGGTATTAGAGAACAGTTAGCTGTAAGTCAAAGATTAGTTTAGCCAAGAATGATTGTACTTTTGCTACCACTCAAAAGCAGGATAAGAAGCAAAGTATTTTTTAAGAACCGGAGACTGATGAGTAAAATTGGATGAAGGTTTAGTCAAATTATTAACTTTCATGGATGAAGTTTATAAAAAAGGTGATTTACAAATTGTTGATACGTAGAAAGAGTAAAGATAGGTTCCACAGAAGACTATTCAAAACTAAACACAAAAAGAGGATTCAGAAAAAGATAGAGTTATGAATCAAACAGAGGGGACTGTATTGGTCACAAGCTTCAAGTCACTGATAAATATGAATCTTTCAATTCTGCCATATTAAATAGGAGATGCGCAACTACTGTGTGTAGAACAGACTTGCTAAAATGCTACCTCAACTTGGAGTAATAAAATTGAAACATTTTGAGATTTATTGAGATTTCAATAAAGTGGTGGCTATGAATATAAAGGTGTAGAATAAAGGAAAGAAAAACATTTTACATTTGTAGATTTGCCAACCAGATTTGGTCAGTTGACAATAATACAGGCAAGAAGATAACTGTACATAAATTAATGAAAAAGTAGATAGGGACTGGGCTTGGACCACTAGCAAACTTTCTCATTGATAATAGGAGGGTTGATGGAATGTGCTAATGATGAAATTAGAGAAAAGTCTGCAACTTTGAACATAATAGTTAGGAATACAGTAGCATAATACCCTTTTGACAAAGGGATATGTGAAAGGAACCATGCAGTAATAAGCAAAATGGCTCATTAAATTTTGGCAGATCAGACAAACTGTAAATTATCATCTGCCCTGGCATGAGCTCTGGTAGAACATATTATTTGAGTAAACAACACAATGCAATAATTAAAAATGGAGCATTGCATTTTGAAACTTACATTATTGGGAGATACCTGGAACATAAAGCTTTTTGCTTTCAGTGAAGCTTCTTGTGCAAACTGTGATGGGATATCAAGTGCAAGAGAGTTTATCATTTTTCTTTTAGTAGAGTGACGTAAATGTTGCTTTTTAGCTTGGGATGTTAGTCAGAAAAGGAGTGAAAAGTATCTTAGCAGCAAAAATTCTTGTTCCTGTTCAGGCAGTAGAATTTTCTTTGCAAAAATATTGGAAGAAATTTTAAAAGCAGATTCAACAGCAATACTCAGTGCTACAATAATAAGTGACCATGGGATAACATACAACCAACAAAATGTGTGAATGAATTAGATAAGACAAAAGATCAAAACTGCAGTTTTAAAGCATATGCTGGAAAAGGGAGATATCTCCAAATTGTAATGGATGAACAGTAGCAGTTAGCTACCTACTTACAAAGAAGCAAGCTCCAAGAAACTATCAGATTAGAAAAATGACATTTAGAAGTCTAATGGAAACACAAAAAAGCATGAATATAAAACATTGTCATGCTGCAAAATATGTTGTCATTTTGTATTTTTTGTTTTGTTTGTGTTTTTCATTTTTTCGCTTATCTTACTATTATTTGAAAAAGGTGAACAAAAGGAATCATCTAAGTTTGGCAGAGATGTCGGCGACCAACTGGAACTAGGGAATGGGTATATTTTAATTAAGGGATAATTGGGTGAGCGCTTCATGAGGTGCATTGTAAACAAGTAATCAGCAGTGTTTGAAATCACTGCTGTAAATGGACTTCAGAGGCCTGCGCAGCCAGGAAGTAAATTAGAGAGAACTTTGTTAGTAATTATGACTTAATTCTAATAATTATTAAATAACATAATTGTTAAACATTAAACCCTCTTCAAATCCAAGTTGGACCAAAGAGACTTCTTTCAATCCAGAGTTTTCCATTCAATGCACCTGTTTGAAGCATTTCTTGTACTCCCTACAAGCAGTTTCTACTGTAAACTTGGTGCTGAAAATGTTGCAGAGTTTTGCACCATAACCATTGCGACCACCTGCAAAATACAAACAAGACTCATTCTCTTGTTCAGTAATAGATTAAACACTAAAAGGTAACAGCATCAAATTTGTGAATTATACACTGAAGCTTTACACACAACCTGAATTAGTGACAGTAATTCCACGTATCATTGAGAAATAAAACATTGAAAAGATAAAGCTTTACCAATCTATATTAATATCATCTTTAAAAATGCATATATTTGCAAAATCTTACTTCCATTACATATATATTGTCATAGCCTTTGATATATTTATAACAAAATTGTTCATGTGGACTTATTATTCCATATTTACACTCTTCCAGTGATGTCACTATATCTGTTTTGTTATGCTGAGCTCCTTAAACTATAAAAGAAACTCCTATAATTCAACTAAATCTACTTCTCAAACTTCTATGGGTTTAGCTATTTAAATAAAGTTGCAGAATTATAGAAGTCTTATGGTGCAGGAGACTATTCAGCCCATTGTATCTGCATAGCTGTTCATGACCTACTGCTCATTTCCTGCTTCCACCCATACCTTGCACATTATTTCCATCCAAGAAATTACCCAATGATCTCTTGAATGTCTGAATTAAACTTGACACCACCACATTTTCAAACAACACATACCCTAACCACTCACTGTGTGGAAATATTTATTTTCACACCACATTTGTACCTTTGCAAATCACTTTAAACATAAAAATGAAATGAACGTTGTAAATCAGGGCAGGATATATAAATTTAACTTAAGAAATATGTTGGAGCATTGAGGTACACTTATCCATACCTTTTAATCAAGGCTCACTGAATCTTGATTCTCCCACATAAAATTCCACAGGCAATCAATGCCGTAAACACAAATGTACCCAATTATAGGATGCTCACTTCCTTCCTCCTCCTTCACCCTGCACAACCTAAGAGGTTTATAATGGGATATCAACTGCAAGCTGGAAAACTTCCAAATTCCAGAAATCTGGTCTTTGAGATGCAGTTTATTCAGTCTTATTTGTATTTATTTCTTATTTTTATTGATTTATTATGAAGTTGCATGATTGGAGATTGTGAAAAAGCTGTTCTTGATCGCAACCTTGCTGGTTCATAAACCTTACAATTAAGTCAAAACCTTTTAATTTCCAGAACCTTAGTTACAGGATACATCTAGCACCCAGGACCCAATGTATCAATAGTCATTCTTACTTTAATTTGCAACATGAAACAACATCAGATTCTTCTTGAGCTCAATGTCATATGCAAAGTATTTTACCTTATGGCAAGACACTAAAATCAGGTAACTGTTTATAGCTCATACTTGGAAACATCTGAATTCCAAATAATAGTGAATAACACACACACCAGTAACTTTCTTCTGATCATCGTCATAGTTGCTGGAGGTCAGTAACTGGCCAAAAATTAGATTAGGAACAAAAACCTTCTCTATTTTATGTTCCACAACAGGAATTCCTTTTCCATTGTTCCAGACAGTAACGGTGTTGTTTTCACTGAGGAAGAATAAAATGCATAATTTTACTATCATGTTAACTCTCCTCTGACTCCTGTCCACTATCCACAAGGAGTGTGACAGAACAATTCCATGGGTCCAGATGAGAGCAGTAGCAATGCTTTCAACACTAAACTCATCCAATACCCATACTGCTTCACAAGCCTCAGTGCCATCCCATCCACCATCTGAAAGTCACTCCCCTCACTAGCAGCAGAATCGTATGTTTATAATCTGTAAATGCACTGCATCAATTTGTTATGTCTCTTTCAACAGTACCTTCTAAACATGATCTCTATCACCTAGAAGGACAAAGGCAGCAGATGCACGGGACATGACCATCCGCAAAGTTAACCCCAAGCCACACCCATCATGGTCTAAAATTATACCACAATAGCCTTGAATCTCCTGTGGGTATACTGATAAAACATGGACTGCTGCAGTTCAAGAAGGTAGCTCACTACCATCTCACTTTGGGGTGGGCAACAGGCTGCCCCTACTGCATCTCGAACAGGTTCTCTGTACAGTGGTAGAGTGGAATCCAAATTGGAATTTGCCAATAGCACAAAAATTGCAATCCTGATCCTTCTTGATCTGCACACCTTAACTAATACTGTGCATGAGAATTTCACACTAGCTATTGATAATTCATTCTAATTTTCTCCCAGAACATATTAATACCATTCTATTTTAGTAACTTTGGTTTACAGAGAGATGGGTTTGTTTGCCATCAGACACTGTCAAATTTTAGCAACACACATTACTGTGTGGTGAATGAATTGGCCTTACTTCTAACGTCGCCATTGGCAGTAATGGACCCACATGAAACAATATACCATTGACCTGGCTTTGAATGGATAACTTTAATAGTTCGTTGACGGACCATATTGATCCTCAGATTCTTCTAATGGTTGGTGGTCAACGTAATAATACAAATAATATGAAGGAAATTTGGTGAGGCTAAAAGATATGCAGATACAGTATTCCTTCTGGCACTTTTGTCATTAAGACAGTAAATAAAGTTTTCATACACATCCTACCGTTGTGGTTGCTGTTTCATCAGATTACAAATCAGAAAAATGCCAACAGTTCAGAGTTCATCAACTCACCAACTTTACTGACTGCACTGGTGGCCATTTGCACTAATCATATATACAATAAACATTTAAATAAAAATACATCTGTGTTTTTCTCACAAGGTATCAGCAGTTCTCACTGAAATGAACCTTAGAAATATGATTGCACAGTATATACTCTTTTAACATAATGTTACACATTTCACTTACATAAATGAGATCAATTTAAAAGTCTGGTTGTAAGCTTAGCTAAATTTAAGCCCTGAATTTTATGCCTCGAAAATTCACTTTTAAAGATCTATTTCCATTTCCAAAATGCTTTGGAATCCACTAAAGATTCTAAATTGATTTTAAAAACACTTACGGATCAATGTTGATTTTGATGCATGACATGTTTTTATCCCTCTGCTTGTTATCAGCTGCATTTACTGTAATTTGAAAAATGATAATTGATTTAACAATGTAATTTATGCTCTCATTTCAAAATACAGAATAATTATTTAGAATCAGTTTTTTCCACATACCTAGAATTTCATCAAATATCTTGTACAAACCAGGAACAAAAGTTACTTCTCTGCAGTTTAGGCCAACTTCTTCATCAAACACCCACATTTGCTGTAAAATAGACAGATTGCATTTTGATGTAATTGGAGATCATACACAGTAATTTTCTCATATAGGTTTTGTGGTTTCAACAGCAATCAGCAAACTTCAGGGGAATGAAAATCCTCTTTGTTGCATTTTCAATAGCATTAAAAGAACCTGCAGTAGTAGAGGTTATACAACTGGCCTCAACCTGGATCAGGGATGGGGCAGAGTGCAAAACAGAAATCTATTTCTCAATGAAGGAAAGTTTTCATAGTTATGCTAATAAATAATCTTTGCGGTATAATATTCACTCCCTGACAGTTACGAAAAATAGCAGTATGTAAGATGAAGAGTCATTTGGACTTGAAACGTTAGCTTGCTCTCTCTCCATGGACGCTGCCTGACCTACTGTGATCGCTAGCTTTTTTGTTTTCTTAATAAAAAACAAGTATAGATTATCAATCAAATAAAAACAAAATGCTGGATGCTGGAAATGAAAAAAAACAGAAAATGCTTAAGAAACTCAGGAGGTCTGGACATATCTACAGTGACAGAAATGGAGTTAGCACTCTGAGTCCAATATGACACTTCACCACAACTTTAGATTAGCATGTTAATTCCACAATGCAAAAATCAATACTTACTTGTGAAACTGGCTCCACTGAGCCAATGTAACTGTCAGGACGGAGCAAAATATGCTCCAACTGTGTTTTTTTCTGGTAGATTCTTTCAACAGACAATCGACGATCATCACCTTTCTTCACCTTACTTATTTGATTGGGAAACAAAGGCTGTTTGAAGATAAAAATAAAATTAAAAACATTATTTTAATTCTTTTCTTCTGTGTTGTCTATGTGAAAACAAGTCCTTCATGATTAACAGCAGAACCATAGCTTTTTGCCATGATTTTTGTTCTATGGGTGAAGTCTATCTCAGCCAAAATTCAGTCAAACCTGCATGTTAAATAAAAACCAAAAGAACAGCGGATGCTTTAAATCAGGAACAAAAACAGAAGTTGCTGGAAAGCTCAGCAGGTCTGGCAGCATCTGTGAAGAAAAAAATCAGAATTAATGTTTTGGGTCCGGTAACCTCAGAACTGATGGTAGCTTGGAAAACGTCAGTTTATATACAGAAAACAGGGAGGGAGATGGGGTAGGGAGCAAATGATAGGATAAAGGATAGAGCCAGTAGAGAGAAAAGAGCAGTTGGATAGACAAAGGAGTTGATAACGATCTGGCTAGGAGGATGAATAGCTGATAGTAGGTACTGTTAGTAACTCACAATAGGTAGTGTGTAATGGCAGGTTCTATGATAACAAGGGGTAGAGGGCTAGGACAGGGGAGAGTTTAGACTCTAAAATTATTGAACTCGATTTTGAGTCCGGAGGCTGTAGAGTCCCTAAGCGGAAGATAAAGTGTTGTTCTTCCAGCTTGTGCTGAGCTTCACTGGAGCACTGAGGCAAACCAGACATAGAGATGTTGGCCAGGGAACAGGGTGGTGTGTTAAAGTGGCAGGCAATTGGAAGCTCAAGGTCTCTTTTTATGAGCAGCACTTTGATGTTCTGCAAAGCAGTCACCCAGTCTACGCTTTGTTTCCCCAGTGTAGAGGAGACCACATTGTGAGCAGCAAATGCAGTAGTCCAGATTTTGGGAAGTGTAGGTGAAATGTTGCTTCAGGGCCAGGGTGTCCTGGAGGGAACAGTCCCTGAGGAAGGCAGACAAGGGAGGGGAGAGGAATGTATGTCTGATGGTAGCATCTCGCTGGAGGTGGCAGAGATGGTGTCTGATGATCTTCTGGATGTGGATGCTGGTGGGAATGTAGGTAACCCTATCGCCATTGCAGGAGGGAAGAGACGGGGTGAGGGCGCAAGTGCGGGAGATGGGTCAGACCCAGTTGAGGGCCCTGTCAACAATGGTGCCGAGGAATCCTCGGTTGAGGAAGAAGGTGGACATTTCGGAGGCGCCCTTGTTGAAGTTGGCCCCATCTGAACATATTTGATGGAGACGGAGGATCTGAGAGAATGGGATGGAGTCTTTACAGGAAGCTGGGTGCAAGGATGTATAGTCCAAGTAACTGTGGGAGTCAGTGGGTTTATAGTGTGTGCTGTTGGCATTAATTGGTGTTCGTCCAGCTCTGCACTTTGTTGTCTCACATACTAGCTGTATGGTTCTAAAGAAACCCGCCACACCCCCCCAACTCATGTTTCATCCTGTGCAAAATATATAACAAATTGATATATGGCAATGGTTAACAGACCATACACCACTGTATGGGAAAGTTGTAAGCTATTTGTCAAAATAATCATCACTTAGAGCCAAAATATTTCATAATATTGCTGGACAATGTAATTTTGGACAATTAGTGCCAATCAAACTTATAGAAGGCAGGGTCACTAAACAGTAATTCCAAAGTGCTTTCATGCCATGCAAATGGATTTTCATCTTAAATGCTACCACAGGTGATGTGATCTATAACCATCGTAACGTTTTGTATTATACAACTCCAAGTGCTCCCTCCACATACAAATTAAACTTTCAAAGATCAATATATATTTATTAACCTGTGAGGAGCCTTCCATACCCTGGTGGACAGTATACAAAAATCCACATGTCAGTATGCTTTACTGAAACCCTAGGAATAGCAATACAGTTCTGTCAAAACATTCTGTCTATTTCTCTGGACTTTGACACAAACGCTCTCAAGCCCAGATATTACCAATTGTTAAGTACCTAGATTCCTCTCCGACTGGCAAAACCCCTCCTGTTGCAATGAAAACCCCAGCAAAAATATTATTCTCTTCCATAACGAGAAGAGAATCAGGTCCAGAGATGCATAAGGCGTCACTTCACAATTTCAGCACATCATGTACTGTGCAGGTCATGTTGACAATCAGGTGAGACAGCTCTTCACATCTCCAGACCTGGTTCGTGGCAAAATACAAGGAAGATAGGCAATTTAGAATGGATTTTAAAAAGTTTACCAGCACCAAGCCAAAGAAAAAACTTTCAAGTTGAGCACTTCTATGATGTTCCCCCGTTCAACTTCCTCTGCACTAAATTAGAAGACTTTTCTCCAAAAAAAAACTCTGGTTAATGCTCCTCAGCAACTGGTTTCAACTTCTTTCCTTTCTGGTATGTTTCTTCTCCAAAAAAAAAACTCTGGTTAATCGTCCTCAGCAACCGGTTTCAATTCTTTTCCTTCCTGATATGTTTTGCCAGTTAAAACAACGGCTGACATCTTCAACAAGGGTTTTGGGGGGGGGGGGGGGGGGGGGGACAAAAAAACAAAAGGCTTTGCCGATATTGATTTTTTTTTTTTTTAAAAAAAAGCAAAAACGATTACTCTCTCGATCTCTTCCCTCGAGGTAAAAGTTAGATTTAGATTTTCTGCAAATAAAACTGCATACTTTGAAAACAATCCCGCATTTGAACCCCACCACCACCTCGAAAGCAGTAATTTTTGTGCATTTAAAAGCCAAATCAGCCACTTTCACCAGGGGCTTTGCACATCATCCGATTTTATTAATTTTAAAAATCCGACTTTAATTGGGCAGACGGGACGGATTTGAAGCGAACGATTAAAGGTTTGGAGGGAAAATAAAAGCCTTTACTCACTCTCAAGGGACTCGATGCAAGATCGGACGCCATTGTCTCGAACGGGAGTATCAACAGCGGCTAAAAGCGAAGAGAAAAAGAATATTATTTTCTCTGCGTGTTTTTGTGTGAATGTTTTTGATCGGACGATCCTGAGGAGAACCCTCCAAGGCGCCGATCGCACTCAGACTAACGCTCGCTGCTCGCGCCTGACCCCTCAATGAAATACAAATCCCACCAATCGCATTTCAGCCCGCCAAAGGGTCGGCCAATCCAAGTGCCGCTGGCCCGAGTATTTGAATCTGATTGGGTGTCTCTTCAGCGGATGTGGTGTCGCCGTACCGCAGTGGCGCATGGGAGTTGTAGTTCCCTCGGTCACCATATTTGGTAACATTGCATTCATCTGTGGAGTAGGTCACTGGACTCGAAATGTTGACTCTGCTTCTGTCTGAATAAATGCTGAGCTTCTCCAGCAGTTTGTTTCTGATTTTGTTTCATATTTCACTGTTTTTGAAAATATAAGTTCTGAAGGAGGGTCACTGGGCTTGAATTGTTAACACAGTTTCTGTCTCTTTACAGATGGTGCCATACCTGTTGAGTTTCTCAAGCAATTTCTGTTCTTATTTCGCACCATCTTTGGTGTTAAGCGCACAAAAACAGAACTGGTTGTTTTGAAGGGTCACCAGACTTGAAATGATGACCCTGTTTTCTTTCCATAGGTGCTGCCAGACCTGCTGAGTTTATCCAGCACTTTCTGCTTTAGTTTGTCATCTCTAACGTTCAGGTTTTTGTGTGCTTCACGTCTACATTTCTTTGTTGAAAGAACTGCAGATGCTGGAGGTCTGAATTACACTAAAAAATATATTGCTGGAGAAACACAGCAGGTTTGGTAGTGTCTGAGGAGACAAAACAGAGTTTTGGAGTTGTACCGTCATAAAAGCCATACAGCATGGAAACTGACCCTTTGGTCCAACTCATCCATGCCAACTGGATCCATTTCCCTGTACGCCATTCCTATTCATATATACATCCAGATGCCTTTTAAATGTTGTAATTGTACCAACTTCCACCACTTCCTCTGGCAGCTCATTCTATACATGCACCACCCTCTGTGTGAAAAAGTTGCCCATAAGTTCCCTTTCAAATCTTTCCCCTTTCACATTAAACCTATACCCTCGAGTTTTGGACTGCCCCATCCCATTGAAAAGACCTTGTCTATTTACCCTATCCATACCCTTCATAATTTTATAAACCTCTACAAGGTTACCCCTCAGCCTCTGAGAATTAAGCCATTTAAGTATTAAAAAAACTGATTTTGAAAATGTATTTTAAAGTTTAATTCTCACCAGGGTTGTCACAGAATTATTTTCTGGCCCATTATACTTAAAAGGCATATGGTGCCTCTCCATTTCAGCAAAATATACCCTATCCATATGCCCCTCATGATTTTATAAACCTCTATAAGGTCACACCTCGGCCTCTGTGACCAGTTCTGAAGAAGTGTTATTGGACTTGAACAATTAACTCTTCTTTCTTTCCACAGATTGCAGTTTTTTGTTTTATTTTATAAGACCATCCTTGGTATTGCTGCTGGTCAGTGATGGAGGTCCAGTTCAAACTCAGTGGGCAGTAACTCTTGCCTTGGAGTTGCACGGCTGAATTTTATCTCCATGAGAAAAAGTTGGTGAAGTGTCAGTTCCAGGGAGTTACATGCAGTGCCCAGACCCCTGACTGATTTCTGTGCATCTCCCTGATTGAATTACAACTGAACACCACACCATTTGTAGTAGACCTGAGGACTGTCTGTGGCCCACTCCCAGTACGATAGTGATATGAAACCCCTGACTACTGCACGTGACGAACTAACTGTGTCTCAACCCAGGACTGAAGTCAGATGCTGCCCTTGACTGACTGGTGATACTGTCTGGTTGACAACTGGCCCCCTTGACTGAGGACTACTTCCCTCTGACTTTAAGACATGGCTATTTGGCTGAAGCTCATGCAGTATGTTTGCACATTAGCTGCTACTGCATGCTGTAAGTGTGCCATTGACATAAACAATTCCAAGTAGCAATGTGTCTGTCCCTTGACCAATGAATACTGACAACCATTACAAGATATCTGTATTTGGGTCAGTGTTAAAAGAAAATGCAAGACAGAACTGCTGTGAGTGTGTAGGTTTAAATGCAAAGCACAAATAGAATAAGGCAAAGGTGCTATGAGCATGCAAGTCAGCATGAAGTGGTGCTAAGAAACTAAGCAAAGAGTCCTGAGGTGAACGCTGCTCCGTGCATGAGATGGGTACCTGTCCCTGTTGCAAAGTGACCTGGCAGCAGAGTGACAATTCAAGGTGTTGCTGTGCTCCAAGGTGCAACACTGAGGTGGCTAATTATATTCTAAGTGAATCAGAGATCTGCCATGATGATGCAGAAAGGCTGTTGAGTTCTGATACCAACCTCTATGGATGGCTAGTCACTTCATTTTTTCTCAATGTGAGAATTTTTTTTTTTGCTCTTGTCATATTTTCCCAACAGACCTGCCATTAGATCATCATTTCAGTTTCATATCCCATTTCAGGATTCATGTGTTAAACACTTATGTAAGAACTGTGTCTTTCTACTTTCCTTGTGGACTGAAATGAGACCGAGCTGTTTTAAAACCACCGTTTGAAAGGATGGCTGCTGTTTTGAAAAGTAAGTAACCTAACACCCATGACAAGCAAGTAGACGACAGGAAGATATTGGCCTGGTGGCATTATCGTTAGTGAAATAACTCCACACAGGCTGGTATACCATCATCAAGTCAGCCTTTATTTACATGTGGAGGGTCCTTGGCACTGATCCAGCTGCCTCAGAACCAGCTCTCAGAGTGAACAGAATCTCTGACACTCCTGTTTTTATCTGTCAGCCAAGGCTCCCTGATTGGACCAGGTGAACAACACCAGTCAGGGAACTCGTATTCTGTGAGGTCCACCTGGCTGACCCCGTTACAATCACTACAGTTAGACTATTATTCCAGAGACCCAGGCAATGTTTTGAGGATTCAGATTCAAATCCCACTATGGTAAATGGTGAAGATTAAAAAAATCTGGAATTAAGAGTCCAATGTTCATCATGAAACCATTACTGATTGTTGGAAAAACCCACCTGTTTACTTAGTCCTTTAGGGAAAGAAACTCCTTACCTGATCTGGTCTAAATGTGACTCCAGAACAAGTTGACTCTTATATGCACCCTGGGCAATTAGGGATGGGCAATAAATGCTGGACGAGCCAGTGACACCTATAGCCCGTGAACAAATTTTTTAAAAAAGCATCGTAAACAAGTGTTTGAACAAACAGTAAATGAAGTTTGAGTTGAGGACAATTTGGAGTTAAGCAAGAGCAGCTTTTGCTAGCAACACCTTAATCTGACGTTCTGGGAAAGTACTGAGGGACTACTTCATTGCCGAAAGTGTTGACTTTTGGATGAGACCTTAAACCTGTCAGGCTACTGTGGATATCCCATGACATTATTCTACAGACTGGTGCATTTTTTGCGAATGTTACCAGCAGGAGGTGGCCAGAAGCAGGAACAATGGGAGAAGGGCTTTGCTCCCTTTAAGTGGAGCCCAACCTCAGGGCAGGAAGGGAGTCAGCTGCAGCTGAAGACAGCCAGGAGGTGGTCATCTCCTGGTTTAACTATCATTCTCCACTCTCACTCCTGGCCTTTTGTCCTGTTCCCACCGGGTTCCGGCCTCCTCCAGCATGTGCTGATGATAATGTCACTGAAAGTATAGATGCTTCCTACAGAAGGCTGTCCGCCAGTTTAAGAACAACACAGATGCTGGAGCAGACGGTGTCCCTGCTAAGGTATTGAAGAGTGAAGGCAAAGAGCTCCTGCTGCAGATACATGCCCTTCTCTGCCTTATCTGGAAGGAGGAGAGAATCCTGGGAACACTCCGAGATGCCACAGTTGTGGGCATTTTCAAAAAAGGGCACAAGTCGGATTGTGGTAATTACTGGGGAATCTCCCTGCTGTCGACCATTGGAAAAGTCATCACCAAGATCCTCCTCAACAGTCTCCTCCCTGTGGCTGAGGAACTCCTCCCAGAAATGCAGTGTGGCTTTTGGCCATAGAGGGGCATATTGGTCATGATGTTCACTGCTGCAGGAGAAATGCAGAGAAAAGAACTTACCCCTGTACACGACCTTCTTCGATCTTACAAAGACCTTTGACACCATCAATTGGGAAGCATTATGGAGTATGCTTTGGTTGCACTGTGAAATTTGTCACGCGATGACATGGAAATTGTGGGAATGACAAAAAGCTCCACTACCAACCCATTCCCTGTTTGAACCGGTGTCAAGCAAGGTTGTGTCATTGCCCCAACACTGTTCTTGATCTACCTTTCTGCAATGCTTTAACTCACTGCCAAAAAGCTTTCCGATGGAATGGAACTAACTTACAGAACCAGCAGGAAATTATTCAATCTCCACCGCCTGCAACCAAAACCAAAGTCACCCCAACCAGTGGCACTGAGCTGCAGTATGCGATTGATGCTTGTGTATGTGGAAACTCAGAGGACGTACTCCAGACCATCTTAAGAACCTTTACAGAGGCATACGAGAGCATGCGTCTCACTCTGAACATCCATTGGAGGAAGGTCCTCCACCAACCTGCCCCAGCATTGAGGAGAGAACCCTGATCATCAAGGTCCACGTGGAGGCATTGAGGAAAGTTGACCACTTCTGATTCCTCAGGTATGTTCTGTCGGCCAAAGCAGCTATTGATGAAGTGATCCAGCACCACCTCTAGTGTGCTAGCACATCCTTTGGCTGCCTGAGGAAAATGGTGTTTGAGAACAACTACATCAGATCTGACACCATGTTAATGGTTTACAGAGCTATGGTGGTTCCTGGCCTCCTAAATGGCTCTGAGATATGGACTGTCTACAGCAGATACCTCAAGGTGCTGGAACAATGCCATCAATGCTGCCTGCGCAAGACCCCATGAATCCGCTGGGAAGAAAGACGCACCAACTTCAGCGACCTCGACCAGGTGAGCATCCCAGCATCGAGGCAATGACCAACCTTGATCAGCTGTGAGGGCCTGGGTACCTCATCCACCTGACTGGTACGAGACTCCCCAGGCAGGTGCTCTACTCCCAGCTCCAAAACGTCAGGCAAGCCCCAGGCAG